CTGTACTTGATCATGATCAAATGTGTGTTTCCTCATGTTAGATACATCTGGAAATGACATGCACTTATATCATGTGAAAGTGTTGCATGTGAAATCAAAAGCTATTTGATGTGGTAAATATGATTAAAAAGAATAATGTTTACACAATACCTCTGAAACATCTTTACCATCACATCACTATTGAAGTGAGTCAAAGATCACAAAAAGAAAATCAAAAGGTGTGGAGATGCCGGGGATTGAACCCGGGGCCTCATACATGCAAAGCATGCGCTCTACCACTGAGCTACATCCCCTACTTGTATCAGGTGGAAAGAAGAACTGTATTTATAGCTTAGAGTACGCAACAAAAAGAGTGAGCCATTGGAGGACATGTAAGGAGAGACGAGAGTGCATTTGGATATTGCTGTTCTGACTGAAGCAACGTTATGTAATTTATAGTTGCAACTTCAGCATACACTACATTTTTGACCCGGCCAAAGAAAGGTCTACTGTAATTTTCTGTGTGTGTGTACGTGTGTGTATGTTTGTGTACTTTAAGACATTTTTTAATGGGTTCAATTCCCAAGGGGCTCCAGCTCAAGACATTCTGAGCTACTTTTAGTTTGAGTTAGTTGGATAATTTGCGTCATTGTGAATGAATGGAAAATAAGCTGTTGTATTTGTAGCTCAGTTTTCATTGATGTAATCCTTGCTCTGTGCTATTTGTAGTCTACAGGTCAAGTTGTGGTTTCAGTTAGGGGACACAGCTGAGGAAGGGGCTCCTCTCCTTCGCACTTAACTTGGAGGGAGAGGAAACTTTTTACTGGAGATGTGGACCACCAAGGTCATAAAAGAATGAGAGAATATATATGAGCACAATATTTCAGACAGACAAAAGAGGCCCAAACTTCCTCTTCAGCCAATATACCTTAATCCTTTTCAGAATTTAAAATAGCCTCCCTCGTTCAGTTGTATAATATCCTCCATGGCAGCCTGAATTAGGGTCTGTCGTCCCCTCAGGAGAGCACAGCATGTCCTCTCTCATGCTGTGTTTATCAGCACACTCTTGCCAAGGACACCACTTTCAGCCCCTGTTTGCTTAAGCCTTCTAGGGACAGACCCATGGGATGCACGTATGGCATGAAGTCTTTAATAGGGATGATGAAGGGAACAAGAAAGAAGGAAGTAGAGAACATCTTCTCAGCGTCTGCTCTGCCTCTGTCTGCAGAAGGAAATGCACCAGCCTGCAGAGGGGTCCCCCAGGCAGAGGGAGGTACGCTGGTTTCTATCTGTGTTGTTATTGTTGTGTGGATTTAGATTGGTGGAGGAACCCACATGTTGAGTCTGTGCTGAGTAAGGAATAGTTGACAAGTATGTGGAGGGGGGTTACTTAGGGGCTGTAGACTACTGGTGGGGGAAGGATGTACAGACAGGCTGCAATATGAGATGCAGGAAGAAATTCCTTCTCTGAGGCCACAGACGTTTCAGTGGACTGTGCCAAATGGGAGTGACAAGGGTAGAAATAAGTAAATATACCAAAGCTAATGACATTTTAACACTGTCTATATGAGTATGAACTGCAAAATATACAGAGTATAAATATGAAATTACTTGTTGAAATGGCCACTTGGAGAGATAATTATTTATTGCATTATTAAATCAATAATACTGATGCATTTCTATGGTTGAGCTTGGGCTAGCTTTTACAACTTCATATACCAAGCCTTTGGGAATTTGTATTTGAAGATTATGTTCTCAACTCATGTTCATCAATTGGTTTAGAAAATGTCTACAAAAAAGACCAAGAACCATCTTGCAATTTCCCTAAAAAACAAGTTGACACATCGAAAATGCTTGTTATGTCCAACCAACAGTCCAAAGTCCCAACAATATTGCATTTTCCCATCAAAGAACCAAGCAAAGCAGCCAATCGTCAAAATTGAGAGGCTGAAACCAGTTTCTGTTTTTTTCTTAAAATGTGTCTTCATGTGGTTAATCGATTATGGAAATAGTAACCTATACATTTTGTGTCAATTAACTTATTGATAAACTACCAATCGTTTTGGCTCGAATTATTAGCATATGATTGATGATCTTAGGTTTTAGTTGTTTTCTATACTCCTCCATGAGATCTCTAAATCTGGATATTTTCTATGGAACAGGTTTTTCAGTGTTTGGTGCATGATGCCTATCAAAGTGTGGATTTTAGAGATGTAATGGTATGACATTTGGAGAAATTCTCTTATTCGCTTCATGCTATAGACTTAGACAAGCATATTCATTTTCTTGTTGTGCATCAATGACGAGTATAAAGACTGGAAATAGGAAGAAGGCCTTAACTTCTAAAATGTATAAATTGGGTTATATGGGGAGTTAAAGGGTAACTATTTTTTGGCAGGTCTGAGTATCTTCTGGGGCTGCTGTCTTATCATCTACCAGCAGCAAGCAAAGCAGAGGCTAAGAGAGGCCTGAGAGAAGAGAGAGAGGCCCCAAAATGTAAAGAAAAGGTCAATAAGGTCATATAGGATGAGTATCTTTACTATCCTTCCGATAGTTAAGCTATATATCTAATGTCAGTGTTAAGCCACAGCGCACATGCAACAAGCTGGACTTCTGAGTCAACTTGTTCATCGCCACAGCTCAGTTTTTTATCCTCAGACAAAATAGCAGTGTTTACAACTCAAGGTTTGAGTTATTCGAAGCACTCTACATTTACTCACATGTCAGCTATTTGAGATGGGGCAAGGACAGGCATGCTGTCAAACAAGAGCCGCACCTCACATTCATAAATATGAACATACACAGAGAGAAGGGGCGGAGCAAGAGAGGGAAAGAGAGAGAGGGGGAGAGATTGTTGTGACCTTTCACCTATTTCTCCATGCAGCTGTGGGAATTCTGTGAAGCAGGCAAATTCAGTGAAAGCTCTGGGATGGATTTAAAGAAAGAAAAGGAAGTTACACAATGGAAAACCACAACCTCTTCAGCTTTTATTCGTGAATGCAAGGTCCCCATCCATTAGGGAAATTAAGGATAAAGACTACACACATCTTGAATTGTATGCATTGTGCATCACAACCTGACATGAAGACAAGAACATGACATAACAAGTTCCACCAGGCCTGCGAATTCTTCTGACTCGTTTGAGAACACAAACTTTAACACAAGCACAGATGCACCAACTGTTCTTGTTAAATGTTTGTGTTCACTATGATACCGGGGTTTACATATCATCATCGCGGTAGGGTGATTGTGTGTGCTTGTGTGTACATGTGTTTGTGTGTGTGTGAGTTGCCTAGCACCTGGTAACTGAATAGCCGAAACCTTATCGTCTTGCCTTTAGAGAGTTCGTGCTGTGCTGGACTTTTGCTATTGTCACTCACCACTGAGGTAATATGATGGCAAAGTGTATGGCAGAAAAAGTAGCTTAGAAGCACGAGACACATCTGGAGATAGATCTCTGTTAGTTGGAATATATTTGTGTGCAAATTGTGTTGAAAACAGTCAAAGAGGCCAGACCACTCCCGAGTTCATTTGCATGTCCATTATGACATAACACTCTGTAAACCAAGTTCAATGCATGGTCCTGAAACCATTTTTGGTACACAACCTTATTTGAGGTTAATGTACAGTAGGTTTTACTTACATTTGGTATACTACTATATGCATACAGATGTATAAAATGGATATTGTCAATAGTTTCAGAATAACCCCTATTGGGCAGAGTTCCAGTTGTCATGGGGGATATCCAAAACTTCTGTACAGTGAAGAGTTATGTTTGTGTAAAACCTGAGTGACTCATTAAGCTTAAGTTATAAATTGTGTAGATTGCTCCAAGCTTTACTTAAAGAATTCCCTCTTTCACAATAACCACTGTCAGCATGTTACAACCATATATAAACTTGCACATAGCCACACAAACAAACTCATGCATATGTGTGCATAAACCCATGCAAACTGTGAGTTCCCACACACATACACAATTATGTCCACAGTCATTATTTAACACAATTTCTGTACTGTCCACTGCCTTTTATTGTCTGCAATAATAAAAGGCAGTGGGTATTCTCAAAGCTGACTGCAGATTATGAAAGTGACCACCAGGGGTTTTCAAAGCATCTCTGCATCCTATTGGCTACTCAAATGCTGCATTCAGAAAAAGGACGTCTGATTGGCTGACAAGATTGACTGGCACATCGAGGTCCCACCCACAGGGTGAGTGAAAACATGGTTGTGGAGGGGGAGAGGAAAGAGCTCTGTTTACAAAAAATTGTTAGTAACATCTCCAGGATCACTGGTCATCAAAAATGATATGGTGTGTGTAGTCCACCTATTTAATTTTAAATATCAATCCAGGATTTCATGGTTGACAGGATTTTTGTTCTAACTCTGCCACAAGAGGACAAAATTAGATGATGAGGTTACCCTGTCTTTTTCATTTTTACCATGTTTAAAAAAAACTAAAATTAAAAGATGCAATTTGACATTTAAAAAAAACCATCCATGAGGTAACATGTACGATACAAAGATACATGTATCCAGTTTGCAGTCCAATGTCTATTCAGGAGGTGATATAACAGGTTGGTTGCAACTTGTTGTTTTTTTACAGTCATCAACAGCAACAGATCAGCTCTGTGCTCTCTTTTTCTCTAGCTGAACTCAGCACCAATTTGAAAATGTAATCACTTTTCTATCGACAGATCTTCATAATTCCCTGTTACAGATGGCTTGTATTAGCAGCTATCTGAGCACAGACTCAGGATCGGTTTACCATCCCCCAGCCGGGATTCCAAACAGATGATGGTGAAAGCAGAAGCTGATCATGGATCAGTCTCTGTGAAAAGTCACCCTTTCCATCTGGGTGCAGGTTGACAGCTCTTTTGCCCAGCCCCCACCCTGTTACCTAGAGAGGACCGGCTTGTGGCTTGTGTAATATTCTGATTGGCTGTTTTTCTTGAGATGGGCGGAGAAAGAGGCGTGGCCAACGTATTGTGATCTCACAATCAGCTGTTTTGTACGTTTTACATTCTGATCCGAGGATCAGCTGGAGGCAGCAATAAACAGAAGGAAATTCTGCAGCGGAAAAAAACTGAGGAGGAGGAAAAAGCTGCAGATGTTATAATCCGAAAACATCAGTGTAACATTTTTACACGAAGCCCTTCTTCTAAGAAGAAAGCCTTTTATTTTTGTATAATAGTGTTTTAACTACCTCACTTAAAGACGATCTTAAGCTGTGCTTTAAGAATTGTTATCGTTTCTACTGTGTTCGAGATCTCGTTTACAACTTGAATAATATTGCAAAGGCAGGTAAGCTTGTCTTTTCTTTCTTAATTGTTGTTTGATGTTGGTTTTAGGCTATGTGTGATCTTAAGAGGTATCAAGCTACATTTGTCTCTGCCAGTGAAGTGGCTGCATTCCGCATATGTTAATCTGAAGATCCACAGAAATCATGAAATCATAAAACAGGTAGAATAACATTGTCTGACACTCACTCGTTAAGATGCTATCTTTGACTGTTGTGATATAATAGGGAATTACCTATTATTAGGTCACGAATACATTAAAGGAAGCAGCAGCCCAGAAAAACATAAGCTACATTAGGTCGATTCGACATTTTATGACTCCAAAAATACATCAACCTGCATACATGAGCCATAAGCCTTATTACAGGATCCCAGCGACCGTTTTTTTTCTTGGAAAATGCACCAAATGCTGATGTGGAATCAAATTCGATGGCGGATGTTGATGTTTTTCTGGGAGGCGGACCTTGTAGGCTCAGGTTTTCTGCAAATTATAGTCACTCATTGTATATTTTGTAAAAATACCCTGTTTCGTGGTATTGTGAGAAGCCTATGCAGTCGATGTATTTCGTGCACTGTCGCTGAGCCACAATTGTCATTGCTTTGACCCTTTAGCTGTACAGCTTATACGGATAATTCATGTTTAACCTGGATACTCTAAAGAAAGTCCTGTCTCCTCTCGGCTGACGAAATGTTAGGCCGAAGATTATGTTTTATCGTGTAACATCAATGTTAAGGTATTTTTGTGTGTTTCAAATGTAAACATTGTTGCTGTGGGCAGCGGTTTTTTTTTTTTATAACGTCAATGGGTTTCAACTACAGACGATGACCGTCGATAAAAGCAGATTTTCACATATTGATCGTTTTCAGCAAAGTGATGCAAAATGCAGATGACACACAACAACATATTTAGGTCGAATAAAAACAGCCATTATATAATATATTCTCGCTATGTTTGCTATTCAGATGTCTACTTGTCTCCGGTTGCTGAAAAAGCCTCTGTTGGCGTCAGTGACGTATGCATTACGTCATAGGCGTCTTGTTGTTATTTCGTGAATCTCCTCCCACCCTGCTCCGCTCCTCCTACCTTTTTTTAAAAGGCCAATGTCAAAAGAAAGATCCATGTTTCAAGGTCCTTTTTTATATCATAGATGTCCTGCTTGTAAAATAATATTTATTGTGTGACATTTGATTCACAACACAAAACATGACCTGTCATTGTTCCTGATTACCATATAGGCAACATCTCTCTGCTGTAGTGTGTGTGCCAAATATTAAAAATACATCCTAATATTAAATAAAATCGTCTCATTAATAACAACAGCATGATTCATATGCACAGGATACTCATGTAGACATCCACAATGTATTATTACCACAGTGTCCTTACTATACTGTAGTTGCACTACTAAGGACAATTAGGGGGAAACAAGGAGTGTTTTCCAGACAGAAAAGACAAGGCAATATATCCAGACTTGCATATTATCATGCTAACATTGTCATGACTATAATTCAAATAAAATTAAAAAAAATACACATTTATTCTTCTGCTTTTTTACATGTGATAGATTTTACTTCAAAGGACATTTATCAGTGTTAACTTGTGGAAGTTGTTAGATAATGCTTTTTCGCAACCTATGCCATATATTCAGGAACTGCCTCCTCCAGGATATAAGCAAAGTGCTTATTGTACTTTAATGGCAGTATCAAGGCTATATTTACACTTGTCAGATAGCCCTAAATTAGCAGCCGCCAAACTGATAAAATAGTTTTGTAAGGGAAGTGCTGCATGTAGTCAATGTTAATGTTGTGTGTGTGTGTGTGCGTGTGTGTGTTTTGTGGATGTCTGCTGCACCTTATGCAAAGCAGTCGTCAGGTTTTTTTACCAACATTTTGTGTATCTGGATTTGATGTGGTCCGATGCCTTTGGTTTCTTTAGTTCTTAATTTCAGACACAGTTTTTGTATCTTTTGGTTTACCCTCGCAATATTCCCCAAATGGAGAACAACCATGGGCCTTTTCATTTAATTGACTGGATAGGATCTTTATAGAGCTGAGATGTTTTTTATCCAGAAGGCTCGTAATGATTTATTCTGGAAATAGGCTACATCTGCGGCTTTTCGCGTCAAAGTTAATTTGACTCTCATTTTCTCTTGTTAAGCATACACCCATGCAAACGGTCTCCTTGAAACTGATTGTTGAAAATATTCCTATTCCATCTGACATAAGAAATCTCAGGAGCATGTCATGTATGCTTGCAATTATGTCTCTTCCCTTTATATGTGTGGTGTCCATGTTCATTCTCCAAATAAGGGGAAAAAAGTGTCTGCTTTGCAACAGCCACTCATGCATAACTCCGTATAAGAATCTCATGCTCTTAGTTTCGCCTTTTTAATCTGAGCTCATTCATTAATACCAACCTCTGTCATGCCTCGTGTTGTTGGTGACATAGTTAAATGTCAGCAGAACATATCGGATTTCCATGAGAAATTAAAGGAAGATCAAGCCATAGGTCAGAGATCATGGATTGAAATTGGTTATGATCTATTTAAACCACCATTGAAACTAGTATAAAAATGTATTATTTATATATGTATATATAAAATATAAGCATATCAAAAAGAAACAGGAGAGAGCAAAGATATATCTAGTGTGTCAACAATTATTAGCAGAGGATTGCTCTCTGCGGTCTCTTCAGTCATTACTTCTGCACTCACATAGTTTAAGTAAATTCAACTCAACCTCTGTACATGTTACATGTATGTTTGTTAAACATATGTTCAACATTATGTTCACATTTAGGTCAGGCACCTGTCCTTTGCCTCAGTACCTTTTGTCCTGGTGTATCTTTGCATTTTCACATTGTGCACACTCACTTTGTTTGACTTTTTGAGAACCAGGGTCTTTGTATCACCTCATTTCACCTCCTCCTCCTCTTCTCTGGCCTGTCCATCTGTCCTGAGACTTTTCTGATTGGTTATGTAAACTACTATCGGGGGAGGGGAGTGCAGTGCAGCCATTGTCCACCAGCCTTTTGCATCCGGATTTAATTTAGTTCATTATAGAACACATTCTTCTACCTAGTTCTTCTGCAATTCAAAGCTAAAGACAAACTTGTGTGTGTTTCATTTTGTTTCCTCTTTGATTAAGAGTCAAACTAAGTATAGACAGGGTTGAAAGAACTGTCAGCAAGTGTTTAAGCTACTATAATAAATATTCTGTTATATGGGCAATGTGTCAAATGACTATCTGAAACAGTGCATTCATATTGATAAAACCAACCTATATTTTATATCCAGATCAGACTCCTCGCAGCTCTACAGAGTATCTTTTAGGCCATTGTTTTGTTATTTTAATCACCCAAAACCTTTCTGTTTTGGTTCACTGCTCTGATCAGCATTTTGAAATAGTTACTTACCACAAGCATTGCTCATTGTACTTATCTAATCTGCCCTGACATAGTGGCAGGAAATTAACCCAATAGTGGACTTGTCTTTTTATAGAAAATGTGTTGACAGTAAAGTACATTACTGTATCTTCTGATTACCACTAACCACCCTCTTCTCTCTCTCGCTCTTTCTCTCTCTCTCTTTCTCTCTCTCTCTTGTTTTCTCTCTGTAGGCCTTCGCTCCAAACCAAGTCAACCTTACATTTGCACTAGAGAAGCCTGTTCAAACCTGCTTGTCAAAATCGAGATCCAGTAAGGGCTTTAGGTGGAAAATAAAAGAGACTCAAAATATCTAACAAAGTATTGCTTAGAACAGCAACAAGTGATACTTAAACACAAATAAGAAATTCAATAAGGCAGCTACAGCTTTTTCTTTGTGGACAAACAAGAAGTACCTGAGTCATCACCACTTGACGAAACAAGCAGTCATGTTCCAACGTTTGAGCAGCCTGTTGTTTGGGGAGGTAGAAGAAGTGGCGGCTGAGCTCAAAGGACCCAACCCCTGTGTGACAGAGGCCGACGAGGAGGGATGGATGCTTGTCAACCTGCCTGGTGAGTACCAGCACAGAGAGTGGAGTGGTCGGATTTTAAAGCCTTACCAAACTGGGAAACAGACAAATTGTGTTTTATGAGTTAGCAGCAAAAATATATATGTTCCCTCTTGCATGTCAATAATACGGACTAATGTTTAAAGTGTAGGATTATTGATGGGGATGATGGGGTGAGGTGAAGAATCAGTAGGGGCGCGATGCAAAAACACCGGTGCTTACCCATATGGCTGCCATACCAAAAGTGTTGTCTGTCAGTGGAAGGAAACACATAATTCTCTGTGAACATGCATCTCCTTCTTCTTTGTTTATGATCTCAATCATGACAAAGACAATTATTGAGAATGAAAACTTGCTTTGGGGCCTTTCCAGAAGCCACTCAAACATTAAAAGCAACATAAAAGTAGCTCTCAGGAAAGTCAAGACAAACATTATGTCACTGACATAATCACAACCTTAGAGGGTCAACACAACTAATGATGTGACTCTTTTATGTTTTGTGTTTCCTTACCCCCTCTTCTTCCCCACCTCCAATTTTGGACACCCCTACATTCCCCACACTGGTATGTGTGTGCGTGCGTATGTGATCCTTTAAAAATGTCCCCTTTCAACCCGCATGGCTTTTTGGAAATCTACCATATTTGCATCATTTGTGCAACATCCCCCTCCCACCTCAAACATCTGTCTTTATTGGCCGTCTCATCCCCGATCTCATCGCTGCCTCAGAAGAATCTGACTGCATGATTCAGGCAGACGATGAGACGGGAGAACCATCAATTGCACAATCATTCCCAGATAGTAACCAATCAAATCAAAAAGTCATAAATTCAAGGACTGAAAGCCTGGCCCCCATTTCCCACCCGTCTATCAAGCGACGTAGAACACATAAAGCTCGGTCACGAGGTGCAGTAGCACCATCAGACCCACTGTCTTGTCCAAGCGCTAGCCCTTCAGACTTGGGTGCCACTACACCTGTGACCCTGCCGAGACGGGCCAGGCTGTCCACGCCCTCCTCAACCCCGTCAATGTCCCCTGGCTCTGGAAGTGAGTGTGGGCGCAGTGGGGGTAGCAGTAGGTCAGGCCAAGAGAGAGGCTGCATGGATGAGAGCTGGTTTGTCACCCCTCCCCCCTGTTTCACTGCAGAGGGAGCCACAGCGGAGGCCAGCCCGATGGAGGACCTGCTCATCGAGCACCCCAGCATGTCTGTGTACGTCTCTCCGAGCAACTTCTCCATGGTCTCCCACAGCAACCTGTCCGTGTTGGGAGAGGAAAGCATTGTCAGCCTGGCGAGCAGCGTGAGGTGAGAAATAGCACTCTTTATGCTGGCTACACTTGACCTTTACCTGCTTTTTCAGCATCAACACAACTATCACTACATCACACCTTCATGTTTTTCTCTCTCCTTGCAGCAGAGTGGCAGAACCAGCTGCTGCCCTGGCTACCCGCAGCACTATGCCTACCAGGGTGAGCCGTGGAGCCGCTGCCCAGGCTGGACCTCTGGCCAAGGTCACCCAAGTGGCCAGGGTCCAGCGTAGCAAAGCCCGCATTGAGCGACGCCATCTGGGCCGCAACCGCATCCAACGCCAAAACCGCACCCGGGAGCAGGTCCCTCGCCATGCAGGCCACGCCAGAAACACCTTCCTTCAGCAGCCCACCAAGCGTAACATCTGCCACTAAACTCCACTACACCAGGGGGCAGCGCTTAGTCTGAGGGCATTAGTAGTGCATAGTCAACTCCAAGACACACAGGATTAAATGTCTTCATGCACCACATATTTGCTTTCTTTTCTGCACATTATATCATAATTGGATGCCAGTAGACCAGTAGCTTTTTTGTTTTGGTCAAGTTACAAACTGGCTCCACCTGGTAGGTTAATGCCCCTTTAAGATGTCAAGCCCTCTGAGAAGACCTGTGTAGACGTTTATAACAGTTGTTATCCATTGCAGTATCCAAACAACAACAAAAAATATAAAAAATATGTATACAGGTTATACTTGGTAACAATAATTACTAAGAAAAACAAAAAAAACTATAGCTCTTTTGATTTTTAAACTATTATTTTTTCTTTCACTTGTCCTCAAGGCATGTTATTTTTAATAATTCAATCATTAAATCCCTTAAAGGTGGGGTAGGTAAGTTTCAGAAACCGGCTCGAGATACACTTTTTGTTATATTCCATGGAATGCTCTTAACATCCCGATAGCAATGAATATCTTAAGTGCTTTGACAAAAAATCCATAAAAAAACGTCATCTGTGGAAGCCGTAATACTGTAAAAAGTACAACCAATCCGTTTAGCCGGGCCGGCTAAACGGATTGGATTGCCGCCCTGTCTGTCAGCCTTCCATCTCGTGCACGCACAAATGTATCTCGTGCCCTCATTGGGCGTGCATTGCAGTAGTACTTCAATGACTCGCCAGCAACAGGAGGCCACTTTCACCAGTCTGCTGACGTCATGTGCGCGTTCATGTGTGTTGGAGGAGGTGCTCTGTAAGGAAGTCTGAAGGAAGGGGCGGATTCTTTTCGGCTGTGTACTTTCAAATTTTAGTGCACTCGAGCCGGTTTCTGAAACTTACCTACCCCACCTTTAAATTGTTTATATATTTAGAGCGATTTTTTTATTGTAATTACCAAGTGTACTTTAAGACATTTCCGGTAGAAACCATGCAAGAAAGAGACTTTCTTGTTTCAGAGAAAACAACTCATGTCTTCGAAGCTTTGGTCTGGCAAAAGACAAAGGCATTCAGACATGAGGCAACCTGTTTCATCACAGGAAACACATATTGTGATATTTCTCTTTTCTCTCTGTGAAGGTTTAGAGCAAGTAGAAGATGGTGAGAGCATGAGCAAAACAGATTAAAGAGTACAAATAATGTCTTGACGTAGAACTTGACATTAATAAAAGGATTATTGAAATGAAACAGTTAAAGGAAAGTGTTATGTAACCCTCTGAGCAGCCCATCAGTATCTAGAAAAGGGCTTTTGTTTTGAATATTTCATCGGTGTAACTCTGGAAAATGAATAAGGCACTTTCTTTCTATGAAATGAAAGATTGGCTTTATGGGCAGAGACATATTGATAAAGAGTATAAATGGATGTGAGATGAGAGGATACAGGGCTTGCCTTTGGGTTACAGGGTATGGCAAGTTATAGTAAGTGCAGAGCGGTATTGATGGCAACTCTTTATTTTGTTTTGTGATATTATTTTCTGCCATTATTTCCTTTTTAATTGTAATATTATTTAACAGTCTTTCTCTCAGCATGGTTTCACCAAATAAAGAAATAAGGCCTGGTTCTGTCAGACAATGTACACTTGTAGCTTTTAAAGTAAACAAATAAGAGAATCTCTCTGTTGATCATACGACAGCATAATTATCATTAAATGTGTGGTCTGAAAACTAAAGTGATGTGCCCGGCACACATCAGACATTTTCATCCTCAACGTGTGCTGTGATCTTATGTTATCCATGTGAACACCAAAAAGATAGTACGACCTATTCACACGTCAGTCCCTTTCATATAAAGGTTCCTGGGGAAAAACATCTCTCAGCTGAACAAAACCCATCGTCCCTCTTCATCACATCCAGAACCTTCATCTTGAATCTGGTCGTGCAACCCATTGCTCCCTAACATCATCTGTCCATTTCTACCCGTCCCTTTCTCATTAACACATCCAGCTCTAATAGTTTCCACTAGCTTACTGATATGTATTCAACAACAATAGTAAACAATGGTGCTGAAGTGTATACTAATGTTTGTAAATTATTTGAGACATGGATGTAAGTTTGCACTGTCATACTTTTTGTGAGTCAAAGTTTTAGCAGTGTGCTGTGTGCTTGTTTTTGTGGTATATTTTTTCTTTTTGTTTTGATTTAAATTGTGTGTGAGAAGGTGTACTGACACGTTAAATGCTAGAAACTCTTTAAAAGAACATGATTAGTGGTCATTTATTTTTATTGTAAATATTACAAAACAATTTATAACGCACTATTAGATGTCAGAGCCTTTCAAGACTTGAGTCCACAAAGTTGTGTCTAATGAGACTAATGACAAATCCCCTCTCTGCCTCACCTCTGTGCTCAATATCAAATCAAGAGGGCATTTCAGTGGCCAAAAGTGTGATGTCTTTGCCTCAACTTCAGTCTCATCCCTTTGAAGTGCACCATAAAAACAGCACTAGACTCAGGGTTGATGTGTCATAGGCATACACTGCCCTCCAGAGGGTCCACTTAGCACAGCTCCAGCTGTATGGAAGCTGGTGAGGATACAGCACAAGACCTGGTTTTAATATAATCTGTACCAGTGTGTAAAGGAAAGATTGTCTCGGTATTCCTGTTCCTTGTTTGGAAATTGAAATGTGCTGTCCCATCTTAAAATACATGTTTCCACCCCGAATAACCTACCACAAATTAATTTCTGCCAATATAAGTCTGTTTTATTCAAAGTATGTTAATATTTGTTAATTTATGATATAATTATGAATTGTATCTTTTATTGTGTTTAAAGATTTTCTATCATGTTGATCAACGCTGAATGGTGCAGGAGATGGATTTGAGGTGATGAGTCCAACATGCTCAGAGACATAAAGAAACACAAAGAGATCTCTGTTGAATGAATTATGTCTGCCCCTGTAATAAAGTACATACAGAGTAACAAATTGTTAATATGAGAGATCACAGATGAATGTGTGGGTGTGAATACAAAATGTAATGACCATTACAGCCTTTTCCGCTATATACGTTTTTGCCATCATTTTATTTCTTCCTTTCTCTCCCTTATTATGTAAACAGGAAATGTGTTTTCAGTATGTTGTGTGTGATTATTGAAAGGCAGAGTTTAAGGAGCAACAGTCAACAATGGGGAGCGAGACTGGTCATATGATGTGGACAGGGAAAGAATGAGGCAGGAGATTTATATATTTAACAAAAATATTAAATGTACCCTCAAAAATACAATAGAATATGCTTGTATTTTCCCATATTATCATAACAGTTGTTCACCAATAGGATGTTTTAAATAAGAGGTGTTGAATGTCTGGGGAGTTTCATATGTTTTATGTTATGCCCTGAAATGGCAGCTTAAAAACCCTTGGGGTTTTTGCCCATGTTAAATCTCAATTAGTACACCTATCCCCTTGTAAAAAAGAAATATAAAGACATAAAATGTGGTGTATCTGATATCTACAGTATGGTGATTGTGCCTTTCACTATTTCTGCATGGTTTTTGTGATGTACTGATTTTTCCATCCCCAAAGTGGACCTATGTCCACTGACAGGCAAGACCTATGCAAAAATTAATGGATGGGTTTCCAGCATCCATTCAGAAAAACACAGGTACCCGCCAAAAAAAAACTAAAAAAACCATCAACAATAAATACTCAGGTTAACACCTGAATCTTGTGTCATTATTTTCCACTGTGAGGGCATAAGGGGATTGGAATAAAGCATATGGAGGCTATGGAATAGAGCAGTGAGTGTGTTATCAGTGGGGGAATGTAAATCATTGAGTAACAATAGAAATGCCACAATGTTAAAACAAACAATTATGCTTCCAAGTTTTTCAAAGTAAGTATTAACGGGAAAAGATGATACAAGTTTCAAAGCAAAAGTACCATGTCAATAGAATATTTACATTAATTATAATATTTACCTCAAAAGTAAATGAAATGTGTTATTGAGTAAATGTACTTTGTTACATTCCACCACCTTTCACCTTGCAGGTGACGCTTTAAAAGTAGGCGGAAGTTATGGCATGCCAAAACAAAAGGGAAGCATTAGACAGACGGGTGTGGTAATGGAGTGGAAATAGGCTATTATGTGTATTTAATATGGGCGGGGTGTTATCTTGCAAAACATAGACCGACAGTGGCTTGAAAAAGGGAGAACATAAAATGAAGGCAAATAAAGATGATGTAAAAGGGTAAAGCAAAAATAAGAATGACATCTATTTTTGCAGCAGAGTGGTCCAACTTTTGTGGTGTGAGGCTGAGACAGACGCTGAGTTCCCCTGTAGTGTAGACCTCTGACCTTTCTTTCAATTGCAGCAAGAACAACATCTACTTAAAGTATTGTAGTAATATTGTGTAGTATTGAGTATTTGTTCACTGTCTATTAGGACTGTTAGTGATGTTCTGCCACTTAAAAAGGAGACACATTAAAGACATTATTTATGGGAGGGACAGAGGTTTGTAATTGGAGCAGGTATACCTTGGCCGCGTCTAACCTCTTAACAAGTAATACAATACTCAGCAGAGAAACTCAGGTTGCTGGGGGTAGTTTTCTTATTAGTATCTGTCATAATACTGTGTGGGAAAAGGCTTGAAGAACCGGTGCTGGGGAGAGGATTTGGTCATCGGCTGTTTGGATGAGATGTATGGACCTAACGCTATCTACTGTGAAGTAAGTCTGATATTGGTACAACACGGCCATCAGCCTTATTTCTCTATTTCAACGTGTAATTCATAAATATTTCCATGTAAGTCATTTTGTATAGGTTTATTTTGGTATTAAGGTGACAGATACAATATGCGCACATTTTAACCAGCTATTTGCCCGAGTGACTTGTCTATGGTGACAAGTCTTACCGGTTTCTCTAACTCTAACACGAAGCCGACTTCTCTGCCGTTTGCAGGGGTCGTGATTCAGAAGCTCTGTGACCACAAAGCTACACTCACCCCACCTCACCGGGCAAAACACCTAAGATAACACTGTTAGGATTGTTTTTTTATTTGACTGCGAGTATTTTACGATAACGGTAAGTCACATTAACGTCGCTTTGATCCGCTTTTAGCAGCAAGATTTTACGCATTAGCAGAGACAAGCGTGAACAGATAGTGTACGTACTGTAGGATAACATGGGCCCTACTGCTGGCTCTGTGCTTGTTTTTAACACTGGTAATGTCATTGTATAATATAATACTATAATTAACTGTTTATCTGCGCCATAGACAGACCATGGCAGACGTATTGTCGTATGTCAATATTTGCGGTAGGTTATGTTTACCTAGTGACCAGGCTGGTTAGAATTAAATCCGATCATTATCGCAGACAAACCTTTCTCGAAGGAAAGCCCATGTAGTTGACCCACAGGTTTTTTATATCTGTTGCAGGTTCCATCTTACGTGACTGGAAAATGCATCATCATCGGAGCAACACACCCTTGTCTTGGCCTATCCAACATATTTCACAAGAAGAAGGAATCGCACTGAGCTCTCTGTAAGGGTGCTTATGCCATACAAGAAAGCTACAAATTCCTGTCCGGGGACTTTGGACATACTGGGACATTAAAGATCCCATCCATTAGATTTACTTAATTCTTCAGCACCACGGTGCAACCTTGAATTTGCAATTGGATGACAGTAGCAGGATGTTTGACTGATCATCCAGGAATAAAAACAGATGTGAATGGAAACATGGATATCCTGCTCTAACTCTCTTCATCACACCCTTAAAATAAAGATAGATTAATTGCGGATCAACAGTAGTCATGCACAGTCCATCTCCTGACATTGTGGCTGGGTACCCCAGTAGGTGTGTGGTGGATAAAGATGCCAATCCAGAGACGACCCTGGGCAGTGCCTACTCTCCTGTGGACTACATGAGCATCACCAGCTTCCCCAGGCTGCCTGAGGACGACGCGCAGTCTGGGGAAAACACTTTAAAATCTCGAAAAGATGATGACAACGTCCTCAGTGAGCAAGATACAGGTGAGTAAGTCAGGTCATAAACTCAATTACTAGAAAAACCACAGCTCAAAGACAATATTGTCTCGGGTGTTTACGTTTCTGGATGTGGAGTTATTATCCATGAATTCATTTTTCATTGAAAGCTCAAGGAGTTGTTTAAATATTAAAAGTCACAAATCAATGTGTGAACTAGGACTGCAACAATTTATTATTTTTCTTATATTGGACTGCCTTTTTTTTCTCAAGTAATAGGTTACTCTATTAAATTCAAGAAAGATGATTCTGCCAGAGCCCAAGCCGATCTCCTCAAATGTCTAGTTTGGTGGGACTACAGTACAAAATGCAAACATTTAATTTCATAAAGAAAAGTAGCAAATCCTTGCATTTTGGTTGCTGGAACTATCAATGCTGTTAAAATATCAAATGAAAATGTAATTATCCAGACTTCTTATCTTTGTACTATAAAGTAACATTGAACTGACACTTATTTTAATGGAGTTATGGATTTACAAAACAACACATATTACTTTGTACTGTTTAATAAGCCTTTTGGTTTGTGTTGAATGTCCCAGACCCGGATCTGTTTCTGAAATCGGCTCGTCTGCAACGTCTCCCCTCCTCAGCTTCTGACCTGGCTAGCCATGATATCGCATCCCTGCGGGAGACCAATAAAGATCCTTTTACAGAAGACTGTGCCTGTCAGCGAGATGGACTCACGGTCATCATCACAGCCTGCCTCACTTTTGCCACAGGAGTCACTGTAGCTCTTATCATGCAGATCTACTTCGGAGACCCACAGGTATTGGTGCATGTTTGTTACCTGCAGTCGTATCTTTGTAACAATGTTAACTTCGGGTTGCTAAGTTGTTCAAACAACTTCATGTGATAATTGGATTATGAGTAATTCTACATGCTCCTCCCTGTTTCCTCCCACACAAGCCAAAAGTCAAATTTAAAGGCATATAGACAGTCTCTACCTTTATGCTTTGTTCTCCTTTCTCTTGCAAGATCTATAACCAAGGCGCAGTGGTGACGGATGTGGCCCAGTGTACATCTCTTGGCTTTGAAGTTCTGGGGAAACAGGGGTCCAGTGTCGATGCAGCCATCACCGCTGCCCTCTGTTTGGGAATTGTCCACCCTCATACTTCTGGTATTGGAGGGTGAGTCATTGAACCATATTTATCTGTTATGAACAGAAAGGTATAGATTTAGTTGATGATACAAGGCCTTTAAACACTTTTTCTTCTGTTGATGTTTAGTGGTGGAGTTATGTTGGTTCATGACATCCGAAAGAACGAGACGAGGATAATCGACTTTAGAGAGACGGCACCATCTGCCATTCAGGAGCAGATGCTGCATATGGACCTTGATCAAAATGTAAGGGATTTATTTCCTGTGCATACTTTTTCTAACAGTGAAATGTAAAGTATGAAAACAGAAGACAGGCTACTATCATTTATGTGAATTGGCCCCCTAAACATAGTTTAAAGAGTATTTATAACATTCAACAGCTTAATAGTTACATTTCAATTATTGACTTGTTTGAATTTGTTTGATGTTGTTTGTTAGATGTCTAACAGAGTATACATTGACCATAAACATACCTTCATAATATACTCACTCAAACTGTGCTATACACGTTATCAAAGGTTTAATTAATTCACGAATTGTCACATGAACTCATACTATATAGATAGATGTTAAACATCTACAGACAAAGGAAACTGTTGATTTATCAATCTCAACGAATAAAATATGTTACATGTACTCAATAGACAATTTCGGAAGCGGACTATCCAATTAGAGTGTTACGGAAAGTCTCATTGTTATTGTTTAGTACTGAGGTTAATCTGTGCTCCCTGTGCATTTCAGCCGGGCCTGCTGGTGGGAGTACCAGGCATGCTCAGCGGTATGCATCAAGCACACCAGCTCTATGGCAGGTATGGACATTGCTGTGTAATCCATTGTTTTAATTGTTCAATCTCTTCCCATGCCATGCTATATAATTAGAGTCCTCATTCTGCTTTTTGTTTTTTCTACATTCCTTACTTCTTTGATATTGTTTTTTTCACATGTGGGCACTCCTGTGTTTTATGATACATCTATAAATAGAACCTTATTTATTATATTCCTAAATTCCTCATTTAATAAACACAAGCATTTTTAAATCTTTGATAACATCAGCTCTGAAAGCTAAAGGAGTGAGATCTCAATAGTCCCAAGCTGTGTTAAAAATACATTGTTTTGTTTTTTAACACGGGTCATGGGCTGCAATTACTCTGACCCTCTATAATTATCATGATCCTGATGCTTCAGCTGGTATGAGGCTGATGTTACACTAGCTTTACCAAGTTTTAAAGTATTGTGAATGGTTATTTTTAGCCCCAAAGATCTCTTAAAAAAAAAAATGTAGAGTATATGATTTTTAAACATTCTCAACAATCTTTCTGTACTTTTTACCCAGAATGCCATGGAAGGATGTGGTTACCATGGCAGCAGATGTGGCCAGAAATGGATTTAATGTAACTCACGACCTAGGTAGGTATAATAATAATGTTGAAACAATCCCTGGGTGAAGTCACTTCAACTTATCAAATCAAATCAAGTTTTATTTATATAGCACATTTATAAACGATTTTTGGTCGAGCCAAAGTGCTGTACATATAATAAAAATAGCCTACAGTAGAGACACTTTACAGCAAATACAACAGCACAGATTGTTCAGAATATCAGTATGAGAAAAATCAGCATTATAGCCTAGCCTTAGTGTGAATAATAATAAAAAAATGTTGCCGTGATCTCATCTGCCTTTCCTCTCTCTCCCTAGCTGAAGCACTGGCAAACGTTAAGGACCAAAACATTTCGGACCTATTTCGGGAATTGTTCCTTCCAAATGGCCAGGCTCCGCTCTCTGGGCTGTTCACCACACGTCTTGATTTAGCAGCCATCTTGGATGCAGTTGCAGCTAACGGGATGTTGGAGTTCTACAGTGGCAACCTGACGCAGGAGATGGCAGCAGCAGTAAGGAAGAATGTTTTTCCCCCTGTCTCCATCTTTGATGATATAAGTGGTCATGAATTCTTCATGGATCCAAGGGATTTTACTTTTATTCCCTGATGTACCATGGCTTGACTGGGGTGAGGTAATAACTATGAACTGTCATAATGTGAGAAAAATAATGATGTTAGGTAACTATGACTTATATTGTTAAAGACAATATTCCTTAGTTACACAAAATAATCTTACAATGTGTTTTGAAGGTAAGTTAAAAAGATGTTGAACACCAGTGCCGTTTATTTAATCATTAATGAACAGATATTGTCTTATTAAAATATTAATATGATCTTATTAATTTATTCATTGTATATATATTTCCAAATACAAATCTTACTCATTACAGTTAGTGGTGGTATTACTTTGAACTGCATTATATTGAGAAGTGTTTGTAATACTCTGACCCCTTCATGTAAGTAAATATTTAAATATAAAGGACGAAAAATGTGGAGACTTTACTGTCTTTCCTAGAACTAACATGTGCATTTTTACAAGGTACAAGCAAGAGGCGGGGTGCTCACTGAGGATGACTTTGGAAATTACAGCACAGTCTTAGAGCAGCCAGCAGAGGTCATCTATCAAGGTAAATATTTGTTGTACTGCACCAAACATTTTAAGATATGAGCCTCAAAGTGACAGTACAGCAAGCCAACTGCCTTATTAACATTACAATATTACTGAGACCATAATTTCAAGGTGGATGCAAAACAAAACTGGGCCACTTGGTTGAATTTAACTTGTCATTAATTACATTTAGGAATTTACTAACATATACTTGTGTTTAGAGTGTTTTAATTGTGGCATAAGAAACTGTTGAACCAGGAATGCAAATATGACAGACATGACACAGATCCTGTATAGGCTTTATCATTATCTTTCCTTATTCTTCACACCTTTCCCCCCCATTTGGTAGCATTTATCACATCTATTGAATATACTGTCAGTTTCCTTTAAAAATGAAAAATGTCTGTTAGTGTTTTCAATCTTATGCTTTGTTGGTGTTTCTACAGGACACCATGTGATGGTGGCCCCGGCCCCACATGCAGGTGTTGCCCTGATCACTGCTCTAAACATCCTGGAAGGCTACAACATTACCAGCCAGGTGCCCAGGAACAACACCTACCATTGGATTGCAGAGGTAATAAACTGCATTAACTGCTTCACCATTGTCAGCATTAACAGTTTGAAAAGTACAGTATGTCGTTTTACTTAAGTATTAATAATGCATTACTCTCCCAGGCTGTAAAGATAGCTCTTGCCCTGGCTAGTGGGCTGGGAGACCCCATGTATGACACTTCTGTCTCGGAGATTGTCACCAAGATGCTGAGGTAGAGATCCCTATACCATCTTTAAACATATAATGTATACAATACAACAAGGCATGTTCATGTAACCCTGCCATTTGTTGTTCCCATCTCAAAGTAAATCACAGGCCTCCATACTCCGCCAGATGATCAACGACTCTCAGGCCTTCCCTGTCGGCCATTACACTCCATCATTTACCATGGAGAACAGTGCAGCAGCTGCCCAGGTCATGGTCATGGGCCCAGACGACCACATTGTGTCAGTCATGAGGTACATAATGCTAGAACTGAACTGATATTGCACATTGGTAAAGTAAATCGCAGTGACAGTTAGGAGTGGATTGATTTCACTCAAAATATTAAACTAAGACCACTTTTTTGTGTGACTGTTTTAGCTCTTTAAACAAACCATTTGGCAGCGGGATAGTGACTCCTTCAGGAATCCTCCTAAATAGCCAGATACTGGACTTCTCCTGGCCTAATAAAACACAGGGCTCATCACTTAACCCGGTAATTGTGCATTCTCTTTTCTTACATTGATTGAAGTATTGATACATTTCTTATTGAACGTTTTGTTGTAGCTGCTCTTGGTCCTCATGATTTGTGTTCCTTTGCTGTAGCATAACATCCTCCAGCCTGGAAAGAGGCCCATGTCTTTCCTGATGCCCACAGCAGTGAGGCCTGCCGTGGGGTTATGTGGCACATATGTAGCCATTGGATCTTCCAATGGGGAGAAAGCTCTCAGTGGCATCACACAGGTTATTACATTACTGGAAAGATTAATGAATTTTCTTTCATTAATATTACATATAGATTTCCATTTAACTCATTTGTATCTTAATCTCTTTAATGATCTTTCACAGGTGCTGATGAATGTGCTGTCCTCCCGTAAAAATATGAGTGACAGTTTAGCATATGGAAGGCTCCACCCACATCTGCAGCCCAACACCCTGCTGGTAGACTGTGAGTTAATCCTTCTTATCCATCTATACGATGCAAACATAACTGAATCTCTTCAAACACTATGATTGCAGCGTTACTGCTAGCTTTTTGGCCCATTTCTTTTTTTATGACAGCAGTAATTTCCTGCTATAACATGCAATATGCTCTCCAGATAAAAAACAATACAATAGTGCCCTTGCACCAGTATTTACATTGCACTTAGGTCACCTGTATGTGTACACTATGCAAAGAGCAAGTAGCTGGGAAGGAAGCAAGTACCTTTATTGTTGTCATAAACAAAGGTGGCAGGTGCAGGGTTTCCATGACACAGAAAACGCCTACTTGAGTTTCTGTGCTGTGGAAAGAATAATCTTATTGTTGATTTTAGAAAACATCATGGTAATGTGTTATCAAATACTGTGAACCTCATACTGCAAACATCACATTTCTGGTTCCAATAATGACATGAAATGTATGTTTCATTATCAAGAGTGCAGAACATACTGTTTTGGCTGAGATCTAAATATAATCTAAGGATTTTACTTGGTCTGCCCCCTGCAAACTGTTTGTGTGTGCTTTTAAACATGATATCTTATGACCTACATGGCTGAAAATCACGGGAAAAATGTGCTGTGTTAACTCACTCCGAGTGTTATTCTCCTCTATCAGAGGAAATTACATTTAAGTACCAGGTGTAAATAAGAGCTAATTCAGTTTGTTATATAATTATTTGGCTAACTGACTGACCTCAGATCATCCTTTCCCTTTGTCTCCTACAGCTGAGTTTCTAGATGAAGACGTGGAGCTGCTGCGAGCCAAAGGTCACAAGGTGGAGAGGAGAGATGTTCTCTCACTGGTTGAGGGAACCCGGAGAACCAATGACCTTATCATAGGGGTGAAAGACCCACGTAGTGCTGATGCCTCTGCCCTCACTATGCCCGTGCCCTAGTCCACCCCCTTTCCCAATACAGTAACACTGTATGATCGTTAGTGAGGGAGTAAGGAGGCTGCTTATCACTTAATACACTAAATGTAGGTTAATGTTGAAGAAAGGTTGTTTGACAGAAAGAAACTGTGACAAGATTATATGGAGCCTAGTGTTTTGATCAGTTTACACACAGAAAACTACAGAGGATCAACATCTCACATGCTGGTGTCTGTATTACTTCCTTCACAGCCTAGAGTTACGTTCAGTTGCCGTGTAGATAGTCTTCAAAATGTATGTAAGACATCACTTAATGGCATTAGTCAAGTCTGTAGCATGTATTGTGCAGAGCAGGGTGTGTCCAAAAATGTAAATTTGATGCACTCAAGGTCCACTTGAAGAAAGCAATACACTCAATAGGTTTAGAGTGGATTTACTTAGTGGGCAAGAGAAAAAACAAAATGGAAGTTTATCACACTGAATATCGCCTCAGGAATTGTGAGGGAAATTAATAATGAACAAATTGATTTTTATCAAATACAGGATGAATGAATCTAATTATGCTACATCATTAAGCCACTAATTATATTATGTGCATGGCCCTATATCTTTCTGCTTTTTGATTATTCTACATTTCACCATAATTTGAAAGAACACATAGGTTCACATGGAATGTTAAAGGTTATATGTAAACCACTAATTAAGCCTTGTATTGTCACACCTAAAAATATACTATCTTAAACCAAAAAAAGAGGCTAAACCATTCACTATCCTTTTCTTTAAATGGTGTTTTAACTGTGATTAGATGTTGTTTGGTATAGCTGCTGGAGTTTTAACCGTTGCAAACAATCTGGGGTTACGTACTGTAACCCAGCTTCTATGAGTATAGGCGCAGCCCTCTAAGGCTATCGCTATTGGGTAATCCCCACTGCACGTGTGCAGCACTGACAGACTTATTCCATGCCCACCTATGACGTGGGCCCCACCTCCGGGCTCACTTCCGTATAAATAGGAAGTAGGCCCTACAATCCACTCCAACAGGTTTTCTTCATCTATTCGCGGAGCCAGTGGGGCCCGAACCTTAGAGGGCTGCGCCTATACTCATAGAAGCTGGGTTACAGTACGTAACCCCAGTTCTATTTCGTATAAGGCTTCGCCCTCTAAGGCTATCGCTATTGGGTTAAGGGCGAAGCAGGATGTAGTCTACGCCCCACTGGTTCCGTCCGTTACCAGAAGCACAAAAACACACCTACTCAATTAATAACCCATGTCCATTTCGCCATGCGTAAATGGAGCATCACATTCCCAGGGAATATAGCATTAAAAAATAAATATTCTCCATCAGGGAACGAAGGTAGGCTTACTCAGGCTACCTGTCGTTTATAAAAAGTAGAGATCGAGTCTCACTTAAATTATACGGCATTCAAAATTATCCATTAATTTCCTCTACGGAATTTGCTTCAGTTTTACAGGTGTAAAGTATTACTTATGATAGAACAAGTGTATTTAAATATATTATTTAAGATATTTTAGTTGTGGCATGATTTTGCTCTCTTTTAAGCTTGTTTTTTTACATTTTTCATTTTAAATTTAGACCAGGGATACTTGTTTTTAGAATAAGAATAATCTGATTATTTACAAAAGGATGAATGTAAACTGTCTATTTTTATATGAATTTTTTTTTGGGCTGTAAACATTATTTCTACTGTTGTAACACAATTTGCATTACTTCAGCTCATTTTAGAAAAGGCTGTAAAGTTGATCTTTGTGTACTTGTGTAATTATTTTTGGTAGAATATTTAAGGAAGAACCCACAGCTTTTGTAAAGCATTGCATTCTAAAAGTGGTTCAATTTAATTTAATTCCAGGATGGCAGATGCTGACTGATCAAATGAGCTCTTAACCTTTCTGTCTGTTGTTTGGAACTAGTGCACTATGACTGTTGATGCTTTTCCCCCTGTACTGTAGAGTACCATGCCTCAAGGCACTTATTTGCACAATACCTGATGTTTAATTCCATATGCATTTTTATCTGATTTGAATAAAAATCAGCACTGTCAACCCAAAAAATAAAATGTTTGCACACTTCTTAATGTGGATGAATAGTTTCCCTTTTTGCCTCATACATGTATATATATATGTGTATATTTTTGATCATCTAACCTACTGTAGAGTATGTGAGCTTGCTATTTAAATACACTATTCTTTTTTAAAGAATGATTAGAATTTTAAAATTGAGCAGATGTATTTTACAAATGTACCAATGCCTGTTTAAAACCTGTTATTACTAATACATGTGTACACCTATTAAAACTATACTACTGCCTTCATTTATATAGAGGCATTGAAACAATAACACGTAAGTGTCTCTTTCAGTAGAATCCATAGCTCCATACAATAGTAACCTGTAGACAAGTATTTAGGCTTACACAAGGCAGTTCTTCCTAATATTAATACATTTGTTATCATGAAAGGGACGTTGCTTCTTCCTTAACTGGGATTTTATTTTGGAAAGTAATACCGGAAATAGTACTGTTCGATGTTCGTCTCTAACTTGACATTGTTTCTTGCTTGTGGTTCATGTTTTGTTAGCTAATCTGGCTAGCAGATGTCGGATGGTCGAATTAAGTGTCAGATGAATATATGTGGTAAGGCTTTTGCTTTTCTCATGCGGATTGTACTGCTTACGATATGCGGCAAGTTAAAGCTAACTCATTTGGAAGCCAATCGGTTGTGTTTCAATGCATTCATGATGAATTAACTGCAGTGCTACAAGGCTAACTTGGCTAACGTTTGCTAACTGGAGCGTTCGGAGAAATCAGCAGGAACCGCCTTGACATTTAATGTGTATCCTCATTCGTAATGCAGTGACTGCAGGAAACATATTCATTTGAATTGTACGCGGTGTTCATATTGGCACGGGTGTACACACTCGCATGGGATGCAGGATATTTGTGTTCTCCCTGCCGATTTATATTTCGTTACGTTAGCTTACGTTTGCGTCAAGGCCCGTGCTACTGCTGCTGGGCCGATCGTGAAGCTGCTCACCGGTTATGGCATCTGATTTATACAATGCAACATTATTCGACATTCATGCAAATCACACAGCAGTTAATACCTCTCAACCACCTACAGTCACTTCTGTAAGATGTTGACATGCCTACTGTTATAAGTTTAACATCACCGGTCACAATGATGTCACTACTAACGTGTGTTATTACTGCGATAACGTCATCTATTTACTTCACGAGTATGCGAAAAAATATTTATTTGATGTTGTCTCTTTTGAAGCTTGCAGTGTATAACGTATACCTGACATCCTACTGCCTATTTATCCAGCATATGTTCTACTCGGTGGTGTAAAGTAACTAAGTAGATTTACTCATGTTCTGTACTTAATTACAATTTTGATGGATGTGTGTTTTTCGTACATCTACCTCACTACAATTCAGAGGTAAATAGTGTATTTTTAGTCGGCTACAGTTACAAGCTTTGATAACACTTTAATGCATCAATAATTACACTCAAAACATAATTAATTTTATTCTGAAATGGGCCAATTTGCATGATAGATACTTCTACTTTTGTACTTTTACTGGTACTCTTACATTTACAGTAGGTACAAGATCTGAGTACATCTTCCACCTCTGGTTCTACTGTATAAGGCATCTTCCACTAATTCAATTCTGATTGTTCCCAATCTGAATATCCATCTCTGTTGTTTCTTGACTGTGACATTACTCTTGAATGAGATGGACTAGTGATCTGTTTCTGTCTTGTGTACAATTTCAGCTTAAAACGGTCAAAACGCCACTCCTAGTAAGAAGGGAGGATGGCGCATCGACGTACCCCACCTCCGCTGTCTCAGAGGACAGAGTACCTGGAACCCGATAATGACTCCGACAGGGACTCTGGCGTTGGGGAGGATGCAGGGGAGGATGCTGACAGTAGCCATGAAGCCACATTTACGGAGGAGGAGAACGTCAACATACAAGATGGATTGGAAGAAAACGGAGGAGAGAGACGAGATTTTACAGTTTTTGTAGCCTTTCAAGGGAATATGGAGGATCAGGACTTCGCTCGAAAACTTGACACTATCCTCAGTGGGATACCCAACATGCTTGATATGGGTAAGTTCTGGTTCTGTAGCTATCATTGTTATTGGGGAAAAACAGCACAGGATTGTTTACTGTTAAACCTAACATTTATAAATATAATATTGAAATAAATTGCCATTGCCAAGTGTGTGCAATTGCCACACACTTAATAAATAATTTACAGCTCTGGAAAGATCCTAAAAGTATGTTCTACTCGGTTGAATACATTATTAAAAAAACATTTATATTCTTCAATGTAATTTGGTGTTTTGACATTGATTAATGACTGATGACACTTGAAGTGAATATGTAGCCATGTTATAGATAATTGGGTGGTATTTGTATTTGCTGTATATGTACTTAGTTTAGATACACCTGCAGAATTCGTACGTTTGAAACATTTCTTTATGGAATATAGCAGCAAGAGTTTTGTTTTTCCTTTCCTTATTCTTTCCAATCAATAGTTTTAGATTTGTTATTCCAGCTTGCACTTCAATTGCAACTTGTATTCTTTGTCATTCTTTTAGGCTCTGATAGGCTACAGCCACAGCATGTGGAGCCGTGGAACAGCGTGCGTGTTACCTTTAACATTCCTCGGGATGCTGCTGAACGACTCCGACTGTTGGCCCAGAACAACCAGCAGCAGCTCAGAGACCTGGGGATCCTCTCTGTACAGATAGAAGGTAACAACACAGCCTACACACTAGGGGTGTAACGGTTCACAAACATTTCGGTTCGGTACGTACCTCGGTTTTTTGGTCACGGTTCGGTTCGGTACGTTTTCGGTACAGCAGAATTTTTTTTCACAAAACAAAACATATATATATATTTTTTTTATTATTATTAAACTGTGAATAATGTATTCACTCAAATAAATACAAAATATAATAAAATAAACATTAAGGTGCAGCTTTTCGATGAACTGAAATAATCTGTATTTGAACTTTACTGTACTAGTACTCACAAAACATAAACTATTAGTTTTGGGTTTTTAATTATTATTAAACTGTGAATATTCACTCAAATAAATACAAAATATAATAAAATAAACATTAAGGTGCAGTTTTTCGATGAACTGAAATAATCTGTATTTGAACTGTACTGTACTAGCACCTAAGCAGCCAGTTTGACATTAGGACTTGCTTGTCATTGTATTTTCATGTTTTTTTAAAGAAAGATTAACTTTTCCACATTGCTTGCCGAAAGGGCAGATCTGCTGGCACTAACAAAGTCTCCTGCTGTGGAGAACACCCTCTCTCTAGGGACAGAGGTAGCAGATACAGCCAGGTAGCGCTTTGCTAACATGGCAACATAAGGATATTTGGCGTTTGTAATAGCTTTGGCTCGGTCTGAACTCTCTGCGAGTGGTGGAGGCTTAAATGCTAGTGGGAGTTGGGTTTGCACTTCAGTCTTTTTTCTTTTGGTACCGGTGATATTCACGTTCGGGTGATGCCTTTTCAAGAGTGTGCAAGTTTGATGTATTGCCAGCCGCGTAACCAATTTTAGTTGAACAATGCCGACAAACAGCTTTGGTTCGGTCCACCTGTCTTTGTCCTTCATCCTTGTACGTAACTGCGAAACCAAAATGTTCCCAAACCGGAGACTTCAATGATGCTGGAGGATTTTCGAGGTCAACTTTATCTGCGTTCGCCATTAATTTTCGACAGTTCCTCAAATTACTGACTACATTTGAACGCATCCCTCTGACCAGCTCTCATAGTATGCCTCTCATCCAATGAAATGACTTGCTCGCTCTATGACGCGTTGAACCCAATGTGACCAAATTACTCTGAATGCTGCGACGCAGCACCTGAGATTACTTCCAAAAAGTTGTTCACGTTCTCAATTTTTTACGTTTAACGTTATATTCGTTCGGTACACTTCGGTACACACCTGTACCGAACCGAAGGGCCCGTACCGAATAATTTCGGTACGGGTACGTGTACCGTTACACCCCTACTACACACTCCAACAGCAAGAGACAACGTTTATTACCTATGTGGCACCTTTGAATAAAGCATACAAATTAGGACCCTAACATCTCCCCTCAATTATTGTTCAGGGGAAGGAGCCATCAATGTGGCTGTGGGACCAATTAGAGGACAAGAAGTCAGAGTGAATGGACCAATTGGAGGACCTGGCCAGATGAGAATGGATGTTGGATTTCCGGGTCAGCCTGGTACAGGTATGAGTTTACTAAATTTATTTTATATGTTGCCTTTATACCAATCAAAAAATAAAATACTGCACAGTAATTATTTTATGTTTTTTTTTCTCCTTTATTCCACACACGTATGCATCTGTAAAAAAAACAAAAGCTGTAAAGACAAAGCCTAACTGAACGTGTTGCTTGGATGTTTTACTTTTCTTTAGTGTGTCATAGCAACTCATTAGTTAGTGACTATAATTCTGTTATTTTGTTAATCAATGTTTACTGACATTATATATATGAGTTATTTGCCTGTTTCTACAATATGATTCAATTTTCACATGTTTCCGGTAAGGAGGAGTGAGGATGGCTAATCCAGCGATGGTTCCTCCCGGGCCTGGAATGGCAGCTCAGGCTATGATGCCAGGCGGCAGTGGACAGATGCATCCTCGTGTTCCCAGACCATCTTCACAGACAGGTTCAGGTCTTTATTTCTTGTACGTTAAATGATAGGTGTTGTAGGTTTAAATATCTTACAGCTTGGATAATACAATAATGGAAATATCAATCTTCCTGTCCCACAGATGTTATGGATCCAATGATGCCAGGTATGTCCGTTCAGCAGCAACAGCAGCAGCAGCAGCTTCAGCACCAACAGGCTGGCCCACATGTCTCAGGCCCCATGCCTCCTCAGGCTGCCCATCACATGCAGGCTCTGCAAGGTGGCAGACTGCTTAACCCTGCTGCACTGCAACAGCTACAACAACAACAACAACATCATCACCAACAGCAACAACAGCAACAGGCCCAGCAGCAAGCTCAACTGGCCCAGCTTGGACCTCGACCTCCATTCAATCCATCAGGCCAGATGGCTGTGCCTCCTGGCTGGAACCAGCTGCCCTCTGGGGTGCTGCAGTCACCAGCCGCCCAAGGAGGCCCTGCCTGGAGAAAGCCCCCACCACAAGCCCAAATGCTTCAACGTCCACCCTCCCTTGCTGCAGTTCAAACTCCCAGCCATCCCCCACCCCCTTACCCATTTGGCAGCCAGCAAGCTGGGCAGGTATTCAATGCCATGGGACCGGGACAATTACAGCAACAACAACAGCCAGGAGTGGGTCAGTTTGCCACCCCCCAGCCTAAAGGCCCACAGGCTGGCCCTGGAGGTGTCGTAGGACAGCCCAGACCTCCTCCACCCCTTCCACCTACATCTGGACCGCAAGGCAATCTCACTGCCAAGTCCCCTGGGTCCTCCTCGTCTCCTTTTCAGCAGGGTTCACCTGGGACTCCTCCTATGATGGCTCAGAGACCTACAACTCCACAGGGTTTCCCTCAGGGCGTTGGATCGCCAGGAAGAGCAGCCCTTGGCCAACAGGGTAACATGCAACAAGGATTCATGGGAATGCCCCAGCATGGACAGCCTGGGGCTCAAGTTCACCCAGGTGGGCTACGTTTGTAACATTGTTTAGGTAGACTAAAATTAACATTAAAAAAGTGCTTTTTTTCCCCTTGTAAATGCTGTATTACTTAATAATAAGTAATTGGGGTTAATAAGTAATTAATTAATTACTAAGTACTCTGATATCGACAATAAAAAAACAATTGAATATATTTTACAGGCATGCCGAAGCGTCCCATGGGCTTTCCAAACCCCAACTTTGTCCAAGGTCAGGTGAGTGCCAACACTCCAGGAACCCCTGGTGGAGGAGCCGGTCAGCAGCTTCAGAGCAGCCAAGCCATGACTCACTCAGGTAAGATATTTGCTGTTTACACAATCGAAAGTATTTTTGACAAAAATCCCTTTTATAAAATATTTACAAAGGCTCTTTGACTGATAAAAACAACTGCTGGGAAAACCATTACAACATGAATACTGAAAAATATACACTACTGAATTGATGTGCATTTATGATATAGTTTAGGCATCAGCAAATACTAATTGTTTTCAACAGCAATAATTATTGTTTCTAAAAAGCATATATTAATACAAAAATAATAATGCTTTAATTTCACAATAAACATGTTAAGATTGAGTCGTAATTTAGACATTATTTATATATTTAATATATTAATTATTACTAATGCTGTTTCACTCAACTTGTCACAGGAACATTCAAGTTCAGCTATGTAGTCTGCTTTTTGTTTATATTTAGATGTGATGAACTGCTTTATTGTGTCAACAGTCTAATTTGAAATGCCATGGTTTAACAAGCCGTTAATAGAAGGTTATTGTATCACTTGTTGTGAAAACTTTTCACCAAAAGTGATTATTTTTCCTCTTTGTTTAAATCAGGAGCTCCGCCAGCCTCCACACCAAACTCAATGCAGGGTCCACCCCATTCCCAGCCTAATGTTATGGGTATACAAAGTGGCATGGCGGGTCTTCCCCCTGGTACAACCGCTGGGCCTAGTATGGGCCAGCAACAGCAAGGCCTCCAGACCCAGATTATGGGCCTCCAGCATCAGGCCCAGCCCGTGTCTTCGTCCCCCAGCCAGAAGGTTCAAGGCCAGGGTGCTGGTCAGACTGTCCTCTCAAGGCCCCTCAGTCAAGGGCAGAGAGGAGGGATGACCCCACCCAAGCAAATGATGCTTCAGCAAGGCCAGGGGGTGATGCATGGGCAGGGTCAGATGGTTGGAGGCCAAGCGCACCAGGCCATGCTCCTGCAGCAGCAGCAGCAGCAACAACAGCAACAAAACTCCATGATGGAACAAATGGTTGCCAACCAGATGCAAGGTAATAAGCAGGCATTTGGAGGCAAGATTCCAGCTGGGGTCATACCCGGCCAGATGATGCGTGGCCCTGCTCCAAACGTTCAAGGTAACATGGCTCAGTTTCAGGGCCAGGTCGGCCCTCAGCAGATGACTCCCCAACAGCAGCAGCAAATGGCTCAACTCCAGCAGCAGCAGCAGCTACAGCAGCAGCAGCAGCACCAGTTGCAGCAGCTACAGCAGCAGCAGCAGCAGCACCAGCAGATGAATCAGCAACAGCCACAGCAGGTTCCTATTGCTGGCAATCCTAATCAAGCTATGGGCATGCATGGTCAACAGATGAGGCTCCCCGCTGGCCATCCTCTTATCCAACAACAGTTGCAACAGCAGCAGTTACAGCAGCAACAGAAACAACAGCAACAGGTCATGTTGCAGCAGCAGCAACAACAGGCAGGTCAACAACACCAGCATCCTTTAGGGGATCCTAACAGTGGCACAGGGGACTTGGGGGTCCAGCAGATGGTCCCTGATATACAGGCACAGCAGCAGCAAGGCATGATGGCCGGCGCACAGCACATGCAGATGGGAAATGGCCACTTTGCAGGTCATGGCATGAACTTTAACTCACAGTTCCCAGGTCAGATGCCAATGGGCGGACCCTGTGCACAGCAAGGAGGCTTTCCTGTCAACAAGGACGTAACCCTGACTAGTCCACTGCTGGTCAACCTGCTGCAGAGTGACATCTCAGCCAGCCAGTTTGGGCCAGGAGGAAAACAGGGAGCAGGGGGTGGCAACCAAGCCAAACCCAAAAAGAAGAAACCAGCACGAAAGAAAAAGCCCAAAGAGGGAGAAGGACAGCAGCAAGTAGAAGGACTTGGGTAACACATTTTTTATAGTTATTTCCTTCTATAGTGGACAGTTTAAGTTAGTGGAATCATTGTTACATGAATTAGTTTATAAAATGCACCTATTTACCTTTCTTAGTGGTCTTGATGGGGCTGCTGGCATGGACGATCCCGAACTGCCAAATCTGGTTGGTGAACAGAATTTGGGTTTGGAAAACTCTGGCCAGAAACTCCCTGATTTCCCCAACAGGCCTGCAGGTAATTCAATTCAAATAAATCATTTTGTATCTGCATTCAGTTAGTGATTTGTTTACTTTTTGCAAGTTTACAGTCTTTTCAAAATGTGTGTTTGATTTGTATTTGTATGCCTTTCTACAGTTAACGTAGGTTTCCCCGGACAACCTGGAGACCAGAGAGTATTGCAGCAGGTACCGATGCAGTTTATGCAGCAACAACAACAACAGCAGCAGCAGCAGCAACAACAACAACAACAAATGCAGCACATGCAACAGCAGCAGATACAGCAACAACAAATGCAGCAGCAGCAACAATTACAACAACAAATGCAACAGCAACAAATACAGCAACAGCAGCAGATGCAGCAACAGCAACAGATGCAACAGATGCAAATGCAGGGTCTCCCAAATGCTCAAGGACAGCAGGGGCCGCAGACTTCTGGTCAAAGCCAGCCTCAGATGCACCCTCATCAGCTGCAGCAGCAGCATCAGCAACAGCAACAACAACAGCAGCAGCAGCAGCAACAACAACAACAACAACAGCAGCAACAACAACAACAACAACAGCAGCAGCAGCAGCAAACTCAACAGCCACACCTGCAACAACAGGTATATTTCATATCATGTACTTAAATGACTGTGTTCTATCAAAGCAAAGGTTAACTGTTTATTTATTTGTAATTTTCAAATACTTTCATTTTAGCAACAACAGCAGATGTTGATGATGCTGAAGATGCAGCAGGAGCAGGCAAAGAATCGTATGTCCATTCCTCCAGGGGGGCAGCTCCCTCCGAGGGGCATGGGCAATCCACCGGAGGTGCAGAGGCTTCCTGTCTCACAGCAAGGCAACATGCCTGTAATGATCAGTCTTCAAGGACATGGAGGGGTACCCCCGTCACCTGATAAAGCCAGAGGGATGCCCCTGATGGTGAACCCACAGGTGAGAGCCATGTTAACACAATATTGACAATCATATGGCATGATTTGGGTTTAACTTGTGAGTGTGCTGTTTATTTATTTTCTTTGGAGTAAGCTGTACATGTTTGTGTCTGTTTTCCTTTCCAGCTTGCAGGCGCTGCACGAAGAATGTCCCATCCTGATGCAGGACAGGGTCCTCAAGGCTCCGGTTCTGAAGAGCCCATTGCAGGGGCCCACATTAAGCAGGACAGGCCTACTGGCCAAGAAATTGGGATGCAGCCTGGAAATGGAACCCAACAGATGATGGCCAATCAGGGCTCTAACACTCACATGATGAAGCAAGGCCCTGGTCCATCAATAATGCCCCAGCACACTGTAGCCAGTCCCCAGCAACAGTTACCCAGTCAGCCTCAGCAAGCAGGCCCCATGCCTGGCCTTCATTTCCCAAATGTCCCCACAACCTCTCAGAGCTCTAGGCCCAAAACCCCAAACAGAGCCAGCCCCAGGCCCTACCACCATCCTCTTACCCCAACAAATCGTCCACCCAGTACTGAGCCCTCCGAAATCAACCTTTCACCTGAGAGGCTAAATGCCTCTATTGCAGGGCTTTTTCCTCCCAAAATCAACATTCCTCTGCCTCCCAGGCAGCCTAACCTTAACCGGGGATTTGATCAGCAAGGTCTTAACCCAACAACTCTGAAAGCCATTGGGCAGGCCCCTCCTGGCTTAACTTTACCAGGTAACAACAACAATGGCAGTATGGGTGGAAATAACAACAACAGTCAACAGCCCTTCTCTACTGGCACTGGAATGGGAGGTGCAGGCACTAAACAGGACAAGCAGCCTGGAGGACAGGGCAAGAGAGCAAGTCCTAGCAATAGTCGGAGGTCGAGTCCAGCCTCTAGTCGTAAATCAGCCACCCCAAGTCCAGGGAGACAAAAAGGGACAAAGATGACCATCACCTGCCCTCCCCCCCAGCAGCAGTTGGTCAACCCTCAGGGGCAAACAATGATGCTAAGCCCATCATCAGTACCCCCAAGTCCAGTATCTATGCATTCACAAGTTAGTGGGTCCACGGAGGCACAACAAACCCAGAGTCCTTTTCACGGGATGCAAGGTAACCCTGCTGAGGGAGTCAGGGAAAGTCAGGGAATGGTGGCAGCGGAGCAGCGGCAATTGCCTCAGCCTCACCCTCAGCCACAGCCTTTGAGGGAGTTATCAGCTCCCAGAATGGCAAGCCCTCGTTTCCCCATGCCTCAGCAGCCTAAACCTGACCCGGAACATCAGGGTGGCACAGTTGATAGGCAACCAGCACACAAAGCACCCAATATGCAGGACTCCCAGGTCTCGCCTACTCTCAGGGCAGGGCCAACGTCCCTCAACCAGTTACTTGATAACTCGGGTATTCCAATCATGCCTCTTCGGCCCATACAGAGTAACACTGTTAGGGATTTAATGGGAAAGGACAGCCCTAAGTCTGCTTTGGATCCACGGCGACCACTCCACAGTAACTCCCAGAGTACAGAAATGTCAGCTGCTGTTAGTACTTCTGCCACTATAAATGAATTGGCAGCTAAACCAAAACCTACTCTTCCTATTTCTACCAGCAGTCCTAATTTGCAGCCTACTTCAATTCCCATCTCCCACCCTAGCACTAACGTGACCTCTAATACTACCCCTAGCCTTAGCCAAAACCCTATCTCCAGTCCTGGTGTCAATCCCAGTCCGAATGTAAAGCCAACCCCTTTCTTCTGCCCCACCCTTAGTACTAACACTAATGCCACCATGAGTTTAAGCCCCAACACAGTCACTTCAGGCCAGAGCAGTCCTGCCTCGACGGTTAGTACCAGTTCTAACTCCAACGTGGCTCAAAAACCAAACCCTAGTCCCAAACCAGGGACAAGTGTTCAATCGGTCATACAGATCCCAGCCTCTTCTAGCACAATGTCCCCAAACCAGATAACTGTGTTTGTGACCTCTAACCCCATGACCTCTGCCCCCACTCCTCAGGCACCCACAACTATGGTCGCCACCATGGTGGCTGTCCCTAACAAGAACATTAGACCTCAGGACAACCGGCAGCAGGCCCCGGTCCCCCGACCACAGTTTATCACCACCACCCCTGTATTTATCAACCCAATTTTCCAGGTCCCAGGTGGATCTGTGGCCCCCAATACAACAATGGTACCACAGCCGCTCACCATGGTGAGGCCTATCCAAATGTCCACTACAAACATCCAACTTTCAACTGCTCCGACCTCTACCCAGTCCTCAGGGGCTAACATGGGCAGCACTCTGCCTACCAGAAGTATTCTAGGACAGGTACAGTTTGCCACTAGTGTGTCCTCATCAGTCCCAGTTGGTACTCCCCCAGCTTCTCATCAAATTAACCCAGGGCCTCCAAAACCAGAGAATCTAAGTGAGGCCGGTTCCGATCATAAACCTAGTCCCCCAGTGAAGCAGCCATCTCCCAATCCAAGCCCTTCAGCATCATCTCCCTTTCAGCCACCCCTGGCTTCTCCTCCTCTTTGCTCTAGTCCTGGGGCTGCTAACAACATCCGAAAGAGCCCCATGTCACCGTCTCCCACTGCCCTGGGGAAAAGTAAACCTGCACAGGTTGCTGCAGCTGTTTCTGGTACAGTTGACTCGCAGCTAAGTCCCGTTGAAAGGTCTGCAAAGGGGCCCTCCGGAGCTGTGCAACCACAGACCCTTCATGTTCCTGCTATTCCTGCCACTAAAATTGAAGCACCAAATCCCCATAGTACTGTCGCTGCTTCTAACAACATGACACCGCCTGCTGTCTCTCCAATCCTAGTTCCTGCACATGTGGCTGTTCCCACTCAGATTATTACCCAGGCTCCAGTGACTGCCACAGCTTCAGTTTCAAGCAAGGCCCAGGAGGTTGCATCTCAAGCTGCTATTGTCACTGTAGTCAGTGCTAACACAGGTACCTTGCTCTCTGCAGTTGCCCCCGTGCAAAGTCCTGTACCGTCCATTGTTCCAATTGTTGCTGGATCTGTACCTGCTTTGGAGGTTGCCCCCACCACATCCCCTTCAGTTGATAATCCCAGCGGACTTCCACAAGTGAAGCCTGATGCAGCTGTGGAGCCCCCCATGCCACCTGCGGCTGAATTTGTTGAAACCACTCAGACAACCCCAGGTAAATGCACAACTTTCAAGCTAACAGGAAAATTGCCATATTCTGGCCGTGATCCTTGCTCAGGTCAAGCAAGTGTCATACAAACTAAAGTATAAAGTTTTGCTTTGTGCGATGGCTCACAGGTAATAATAGTTGAGGAGAGACGGTTAAACTTATATTAATAGAGAACCGCAGTGCCAAACCCGGAAATAAACTCCTTCCGGTTCCTTCGACAAAAATGCAATGCAATTTCTCCATAGGATTTTGGAAAATAGCTCGAAATAAGGTCTGGTTGACATACATTTAAGAAACGGATCACGTTTTGTTCAGCCGGATAATATCCACATGTCTATCCTACTTTCATAATATTTCAAATCATAAATCTAGTCGCCAGAAGCAAAATGCTAATGTTATGCTATAAACTAACTACAGCAGGGTCGCTGCTTCAACGTCACGCCGACTTAAGATCCATATTCAAAACTACATATTCAAAATTGTACAAGTTGAAGCTTTTGTTTTAACAGTTTGCAAGAGCGCAGGTACTGGCTTTCAAGCAGAACAGGGCAAACAAACTTAGCGGGAATGTTTACGTGTTCGGTGTAATGACGTAAAACGGCCTCGACAACTTCTGTAGTCCTATTCAGCCACATGTTAACAACCATCGTTTTTCAGACACGTAAACTCTTCAAAAATCACCAGTGGGGTCACTGCTGATGTATTTAATGTCGTAGAACAAAACGTGATCTGTCTCTTCAATTTGTGTCAAACACAGACCTTATTTTGAGCTATTTTCCAAAATCCTATGGAGAAATTGCATTGCTTTTTGTCGAAGGAACCGGAAGTGGTAAAAATGCTAACTTACTTCCGTGTTTTAGGACGCGTCACTGTGGTTCTCTAATAGAGTTGACAAAATGTGAAATTCTTTACTGACCTAAAACTGGATCTTGACTTTGATCAATTTAATTCAATTGAATCAGATGTTACTTTGTTGTTGCATTAGTTTCTGTATTGTTTTGTCTTATCACTATTTGATGAGCTCTGTGGATTAATGTAAACACCTATTTTTGAGTTTCTGCCTTGTGTATTTGTTGTTTGTGTGTATGTATTTCAAAGGCCCATCTAGGGCATTACAAATGAGCTTAGACTATACATGTTGTGTTGTGTATGGCATTGATTTATGTTATAGTACGTACCTGTGCAAGTAAACATTAAACTTACATAGCCAATCTCTATCTAGTTTAAGTTGAGTACATGTGAGTTGAACTATTTAATATTTGTTCCCAGCATCTATTCAACAAGAAGTCTCACAGTCTCAGGAACCTGTCGCCAGTGAGAAGACGGGTGAGTGTGGTAATCTTTGTTTTAAGTTGTTGTTAAAACATGCTTGTTTATAGAATATAACTACTTTATAGTAAACCATATGCATCTCTTGGGACTACATGACATATAATTAACAGTTTTCTTTGTCCTGTTCAGGTGAAGAGGTCTCGACAAGTTCTGAGCAGGGGTAAGGCTCCTCATAACATTTGGATTATTTGAACTGCTGTTTGTTGCTTAGCTGCAAAATGCTGAGAGTGTTCGGGGCTATTAAGCTTTCCCTTACTCTGATCTCTGAAAGTTGGACTTGGAGAAATGCTTAGACATTTCTAACTCTACTGAAACTCAGGGAGTGCATTTGGTTGGCCAAGAGGTACATGGCGAAAACAATGAGCCACGTGGCACTTGGTATGTATGATTGGCATGCAACAATATAAATATACTTATGCATGTCCGAAGTTAAAGCAAAAAACAGCCAAAGCAGATGGCACCACTCAAGTGACCTTTTTAGCCACATCTCTTTTCCTGGGGTTTTTCATATGATGGTGGGGGAAGTGAAGCCATGTTTGTTCAGCACAGTTTATAGATTACCGCTGTTTTTCCACTTCTATCACAGATGGGCAAAGAAAAGAAAGACGCCCATCAACTTAGTCCCAAGGTATGTATTTTAACATGTTTGCGCTGCAAAGACAAGCAGTGATCATGTCGACGTAGTGGAAGCTGTCGGGATGAAGATGGACAGTATCTGTGGTAGACGAGGAAAAACAGCAGAGTCCTGAGTGGTATTATTCCTTTCTCTGAGTAGAGCAGAGTTAACGCACACCCATGCATCTTTAGTAACAAACCCTTGTGTTGTTCTTCCTTTCCCTGTCGTTGTTTTTCTATCTGGTCCTCCCAGGGCTGCTGTGGAGAAGCCCAAGGGACCGAGCAGACGCAGCTCCCGGGCAGAGAAGGAGGTGGAGGAGGAGCCAGTAGCAGACAGCGGCATTAGGAAGAGGTCAGCCAGGCCTGGAACGAGTGCTGCTGTGAAAGGTAACTTAACCACTCATGCAGCTTTAAAATAATATATATCATTACTCCTAAGCTTCACATACCTAAGCTCAGGGGCGGATCTACGGGGGGGGGCAAGGGGGGGACAGCTGCCCCCCCCACTGTAGAGCCTTGCCCCCCCCAGCTGCCCCCCTAACTTTTGTGTCCCTAAAACTGTACTTGTAGAAACAAACCTACACTATGTCCACAAGCTTCTCAGGCAACAAAATAAGCAGTACATGAATTAAAAGTGAATCATTTAAAATATCATCTTAGGCCCGTTAAAAACGCAGCTACGGCCCTGCATTAAACTGCGGAGCGGCGTTCACACAGACCGCGGCTCACGCAGCTGCAGAGAGACCGAGCTGTCCCAGCACCTGAGGGTGGATCAGCTTCCCCTTGGAGCATTTCCCCTTCCACTAGTTTTGTTTTTTACTAAGGACGAGAGCTTGAAACAAGATATTAATAAAGTGCTGCCGTTTGAATCGATAGCGTTTAACAGATGGGCGCTGTTTGGGGCGTTACGTTACAAAATAGCCTACTATACAGACAGCGCTAGCTGTGAGATTGATCACTTTTATTTGCTAAACTATGCCGTACTATTAAATCCACGTAAATTACTCTCAGACATCACAGCAATGAGGCTGATAAATGAAACCAGGATACATCCTTTACTGTCAATCTGGTTCTAAACACAGCTGTCTGTGTGCGTTTGATAAATACTTTCTGATTTTATATTTATTATATGCTACTTATTATCTTCATGGCCCTAACGTGTAAAGTTCAGGGTTCGTACGGGTGCTTGAAATACTTGAAAATGCTTGAAATTTGACGTGGTGTTTTCAAAGTTGGGAAAGTGCTTGAATTTTGGGAATGGTGCTTGAAATTGAGATAAAGTGCTTGAAAATGTAAATGCTTTACTTTTACAATAAATTGCTGTCTGACTGAATAGTTCGCTTTTTAGATTAAAAGAAAATAATTGCTTCGCTTCTACATAAAACAGCTCCGCTGCGGCCTTCCCGCGCTATGCGCGCGACCTGCAAGTGTTTGTGTTACGTGTGACCTGGGCATTCTGATGAGAGTGATAGATGACTGTGTGCCAGGATGTTGCCGTTTCAACGAGCGTTGGCTAGCAGAAGACAAATACAAGCCATGGCTAAGACGAGGGTCAAGCCCACGAGTAGCCTCCTGCAAAGTTTGCAAAAATAACGATGCGAGAGTCTGCGCTGATGAGCCACATGAAAGGTACGCCGTAGAAGAGCATTTTAGATTAGGCTAACGTTGCATGTTACGTTTGTTTAAGCTAACGTTAGCTAGCTGAATAGCGAACTCGATTGAGAGATAATATTAATTGCAGGGGACAATCATTTCAGAGGAGCGTAACCTATGTTATGTGCGTTACCGTCGCCATCCTGTGGTGTTCAGAGGATGAAGCACTCACGGCATTTCGTGTTATAGTCACGAAATATAATCTATTGATTCGACACAGAGCGATTTTGAAAGCAATGTATTTCTACTGGTAGTATGTTTCGTGCCTAAACCAAATGTAACTTGCTCTATCGAAATCAGTCACATTGACCCGAAGACACATTTTCGTTTGTATTACTGGTCTGGGGGAAGCTCGCGAGTGTGTTTGTGTATTTTTGCGTTTGTTTCCCAGGGAAACACTCACAAGAAACACCAGCTGTTGTTATGCCTGCTGTGACGTTAAGTTACTCAGTTCTCCGCTTGTAATTATGCCGAAGCTTCAAAGTTGTATTTATCATCTGAATTTGCCGAAACAAGTTTAATATTCTGAAAGCCAAGAATTGTTTATTTGAAAACAGATGAAAACAAACTGTCTTTATATAAAATTGAAGTATTATACAAGTAAAACTAAATGTTGCTTTAATCCCATGTAATTGTAGAATGAACACAGTCTTCCTTTGAAGATGTATAAGTAAGGTGTCTTGAGTAGTCAAAATTACCTACAAATCATTGTACACATTTGTAAATATTATTTTCCACTTGTTACCATTGTGAGTCTATTTCTATGCAGCTCTGTGTGATTTTGTGGCTACAATTCAGACTAATACGCTACTAGAGGTGGAATAAGTACTCAGATGTTGTAGTGAAATTATAAGTACTCAGATCTTGTACTTAACAAAAGTAGAAGTACCAGAGTGTAGGAATACTCTGTCACAGTAAAAGTCCTGCATTCAAAATATTCCTCAAGTGAAAGTAGAAAAGTATTCTCATCCAAATATAGTTAAAGTAGCGACAGTAAAAGATGTCATTGTGCAGATTGGTCCATTTCATAATATATGATATGTTTTATAATGATTGATCATGAAAGTGTTCTCAAAGCTGGTAAAGGTGCAGTTTGAATGACTTTGTATACTGCAGGGTAGCTGGTGGATTTACTCCAGGTGGAACTAAAGTCTGATTTAACACTTGATTAGATTTCACATCATTCATCCTGATCTGTAAAGTAACTAAAGGTATTAAATACATGTAGTGGAGTAGAAGTACACCATGTACCTCTGAACTGTAGAGGAGTAGAAGTACACCATGTACCTCTGAACTGTAGAGGAGTAGAAGTACACCATGTACCTCTGAACTGTAGTGGAGTAGAAGTACACCATGTACCTCTGAACTGTAGAGGAGTAGAAGTACACCATGTACCTCTGAACTGTAGTGGAGTAGAAGTACACCATGTACCTCTGAACTGTTGTGGAGTATAAGTACACCATGTACCTCTGAACTGTAGTGGAGTAGAAGTACACCATGTACCTCTGACTTGACTTGACTGCCAACCTAAAAGTACCTCAAAAATAGTAATCAATAATGTATTGAAAAGTTATTTGGCTGATTGTTTTATATTGGCTCAGCCAGGTTATATGGGAGGCCCAGTCTACGTACAGATCACTCATTTTGAAATATTAAACTTAGTTTTCTTTTCTTTAATTTTTCATCCTCGTGTAGAAGGCTATCACGAAACACACATTTGGTTGTTTATAGCATAAAGAACATCTGATTTAATGTGAGGTAGGGAAATAATCATTTGAGTATGTGTATATAAATATGTAATTTACAACAGCTGTAAGATGCTTGAAAAGCTGGAAAATGCACCTTGAAAATGCTTGAAAAGTGCTTGAATTTGACTTTGGAAAAGGTGTAAGAACCCTGAAAGTTATACAAGCATTTGTACCAGTGCTTTTCACAAGTCGACTCTTGCAGGCCAGAGTAGCTGGAGTGATTCAACAACAAAAAATACATATCTGAGAAGTGATCAGGACGAACAGAAAGAGGAAAAGGAAAAGAGAGTACACTGAAGAGACCTGGAGGGTCAGAGCAGGCGAAAGCCAGGAGGAGATGAAGACATTAGTGAAGAAGAAGACATGTATATGAGGAATAAAGATGAAGTGTCAGAAAGAGGGACAGAGGCAGATGAGACTCCAGCTGGACCACATGGTATGTTTTTATTCTCCTTGCATACATATTCCATCACAGCAGCACAATCTAGCGGCTCTTAGTATTGACAAATATGTATTGAAATGTGTTGCTGCACAGGTCACCTTTAGCTCTCTTAAGAGATGGGTGGTGTCATTTGTGTACGAAAAAAAAAGTTTTAACAACATGTTTATTTATTGACTTTTCATTCCTGTATAATCATTTTGCGCAAAGATGGCACTGTTTGTCAGAGCACTTCATCCTTCTGGGATTTCATGAAGAACAGCTCCAACGCCTGTGTGTATGGGAACGCCTCTGGTGCTGGTCCATTAACTGCCAGCGTTTCCCACAGATCTGAAATATACATGGGGGGGTGGTGGTAGCGGGGGGGGGGGGGGGGGGGGGGGTTGAGGTGACGTGCAACAACATTAACCTCTCTGTTGGTCGCTTGTTAGCAGACCCTTCACGCGATGGCAGAGCGAACAAGTACAGGCAGGGCCCATAATGATAGCCCTATAGTTTAAATCTACTACCGACACATGAACATATGGAAATGGGTTACTATTTAAATTTTTTTTATGTATTTATAAATGTATTTAGGAACCTATCCATGTGATTTTTAGTGGGGGTCGCCCTCAAATCCTCTAGGGGGGTCCAGGGGCATGTCCCCCGGTAAGATTTTTTTTTTTTTTGGAGTTAAATGCATCAATCTGGTGCATTTTGAGGGGGAAATAAAGAGACTAGATCTATGGAAACACCTATATTAAACAGAACTGTATACATTTCAATAATCATAAAATCATGGCCATAACCAATAACATACCATTTCCAATATGAAAAAAAACACTGAAACTTGTTTATTAATTTAGTTTTGGTTCATTTATAGTTGTGAGTGTGTCTGTGCTCCTGAATCAGCCTCTCCTGTCTCCCTCCTCTCCCCCCTCTCCCCCTGCTCCTCTTTGAGGCAGCAACAAAGACTAGTTTTCTCTCAACAAGTTTTAAAAGTGTATCTTACCTTTTTTCACCTAGTTAACTTTTTATTTATTTATTCATGCATATTTTACTAATCACATTACATTTCATTTAGCTGACGCTTTTATCCAAAGCGACTTATAATGACCGATTACAGGGACATTCTCCCTGGAGTAACTAAGGGCTAAGTGCCTTACTCAAGGGCACACTAGTGTTGGTGTTCCTGGCGGGATTTGAACTCACAGCCTTCCGATCTTCAGCCCACCTCACTATCCATTAGACCAATCACTACCCTCTCAAATGGAAATATGTGTTTACATAAATGGTGACCACACCGTTTGAGACCCACTGAGAACTTAGACTAAGTTAACTATCTAAACACTCAGAGAGTCCTTTACCTCACCTGATCTGAGGTTATCCCGAGCTTGAATGACACACAGAGACCAATCAAGGGCTTTGATTTATGATCTGTATGACAGTGGCCATGTCGGCAGGCCACATCATGTGGACAGCCAGTCACCCTGTGTGAGGCAGGCTACTTAACAGGCCAGAAGGAGGCGAGATCAGAGCAAGGGAGCGAGGGATCATTGTCCACAAGTTAATCGATCGCAGATGTCGTCGTGGTCACGGACGAATAAAAGAAAAAATTGTAAAAGAAAAAAAAGTTATAAAAAAAAATAAATGGGTCGCGAAATATACTTGGGCGGCCGTTAATATACCTGGGCGGCCCGCCCAAGTATAGTCTATGTGTGGGAAACCCTGATAACTAAGTACTTTTACTGTACTTACAGTAAGCAGAATTCATGAGTATTTTCTGCTGTTTTATACTATATTTGAGTTTGTTTGTCTGAACATCTTGTTTCTCTTAAGCATTAAGAACACTGAGGGCATGATTTAACAATAAAAAGGTTATACAGTATAAAATACCACATACTGTACGCCCTCCCATGTCACCTTGGCATGACCTCTTGCCCCCGCTTTGCCACCCCATGTAAAATGTTCTACCTGTACCTAATATACCTAATGTACTTTTATACTTTTTTCTTCTTTTTTTTTTAAACAGAAACTGGAGCGAGCCCCACCCAGGCAAAACGAAGGAAGTCTAAATAGACTGCAGTGATGGAAACCTGTGAACTGTACTGTAAATGTGTTTGTTTCCGCTGTGAATCAGTTGATATTGGTTTCTCTGTCCCGGTTTATGAATGGAGGAAGAAACCATGTACAGATTGTTTTAAAAATAATTATGCTATTGTGTTGTCCATGCTATCATGTGAGATTGTAGTTAGAATGTGTGCAATACAGTATGTGTTTGTGTGAATGTGCTTTTTATATTAAATGCTGGATTAATCATGTGAAGACTGATGACGGAGCTTGTCATGATTGTATAATTATGTTGTAAAACTGAATTAAATTTTCTACTGCTTTTTTGTTCTGTGAAAGTGTGTAAAATGATTCATGCATTGTCCTAACGATTACCGATCATTTTGTGGTCAGTCTCAGTTTGCTCATTCCTACCAGAACTGCATTAAAGTAGGCAGAGTGTGATGTAAACACTCAATACCTTTAGGTGAAAATAAGTTAAAGCCCTGATAGAATATAATGCTCTAAGACATTTTTTCCCTTTACGAATGTCCTAAAATGGTGACTGAATTGAAAAGAAAATATAACCACATTGACGTACCTTGACATTTTGAGTGTGGTTCAGGTAGGGACCAGCATTTTCTCGGTGTGCGCATGCGCATTCAGTAAACATTGGGACTCCATTCCAGTGTGTCAGTGAGGGTTCCCCGAGCCTCTCATCCTTAACAGCTGTCTACCGAGATAACTTCACCTGCTCTACAAACAAAAACAACCTGACCATGAGCGGAGATCATGGACATGGAGACTCTCAGGTACCTTTTGCTTATCTACCCTTTTTTTTAAATGTCAATTTGTGTTAATTCCTTTGTAATATCTCGGCGTATTAATCGTCATGATATTAAATAATGGTTAAGAAACGTTAGTTTGCGTAGTAAGTTGTGCCGCTTTCTTTGTTCTTTTAATGAACACTTTTAAATTATGTGCAGTATTTGTGGGCCTATGTTACTGTAGTTGAATGCATGCATTTCTAGGGTAAATGTCAATACCAATTGAAACTTGAATAACCGTGCTACCGGCATTTTCAAAATTGAAATATTAAAATCATATTTTTCACAACTTTCAGGTGAATTCTGGATCCAAAGGAAGCGGTAGGTCCTCTGTATAGGATTTGTATTCATAGTCTGTCTTATTTCCTGTCGGAATCGTGATCTGTCTACTGTTAGTTTTTAAAGCACAGAAATGGCGTCCCAGAGACTAAGTCCCTTCTCCTCCACTCTCTTGCGGCTATTGTTCAAAAATAGGGTCTAAAATATACACTTCCGGCCCTCTGTTTTTTAATCTGCTGGGGTATTCTCAAAGGACCTGGCATCGTGTTTATTTTGCATGCTTCAGTTTGATAAACTGTACGTGCATTTATAACGCATTTTGGAGCCGAAAGTAGCAGAATTGTGGCTGAGGACTTAGTCTCTGCGCCATTTTCTTTTTCTGGATGTAACAGCCAGGGAGCCGACCACAGAGCCAACTGTCTGCCGTGATATGGAGGCGAGAGGCGGGCGCTTATCGCCTCACCCTGCCCGTATTTCTCCACCAGCTGCACTCCCTGCTAGAGACATTTATCTGCACTACCAACAGGGAATCCTCATACATGAGCATAACATGTCAGGTCACAGAAAATAAAGTTGCACTACATTATTAAAAGCATATGCCTTCAGCAGTCAGTTTTGCAAAAATGTGCCTCAACACAAGAGTATCTGATACTCCTGCAGAGTTGAGATCACTTTTTTTCTTGTGTTTTAATTTCCTGTCTGATGATGGGAAGCAAAAGCAGTCTATGGGAATTGATTGGGTTTATAATTGCGATGTGTAGGCCTATTACAATTTCCTATAGCAGATAATAATACCCTTATTAAACTGCCATGACAACAGGGCGCCACGAGGTGATGATCAAGCCAAAACAGATCTACCTCTGGAGGAATTTAACTCAGCAGGAAACATTTTATTATGAAAGCCAAACAATAATTGTCAAAGCAGAATCACATGACTAGCTGCCCTGAAAAAATAACCTACAATGTTAGAGGGGAAGAAGTCCTTTGTGTGAAGGAAATAGCATATCCAACATCACATCACAGGTGTGGCCTGGAGGTTGAACCTTAGGGGAATGGTGGGTCAGCTACAACAGGTGTGCCATGATCCTCAAATAAATGCAAGGCACATTTCAATGGATATTAGGATATACATTTGACAAAATGTTTTTTATTCAGCTTTTCTTTGTATGCTGCTAAATAAGTTGATCTCTCCTTGGTATCACAGACTCCCATAAACATAAAGACAAGCACAAAGACAAGGAACACAGACACAAAGACCACAAGAGAGACAAGGAGAGAGAGAAACTCAAGCACGGCAACAGGTAGGGTATCTTCCTCTCGAGTTAAGGTTTTCTGATATAAAACTGACCAATGGAGGTTTTAACAGCCCCTGAAATGATAGGCTATCAGTGTTACCTCGACCCCTCACATGTACATATCCTCCAGTATACATTATGATACCAGCTGATGATTTTTTCTATCATATCTAAACAAAGTATGCATTTGGATAAAGATTCTGTCTGTTTTTAACATAAAAAAGGTTATCTTTTCAACAAGAACATGTCAAGAAAGTTAAGCTGCTGATTTGATGGAACGTCAAAGAACCCTGCCATGTTAAATAAGCAAACATATATCACAAAGACTCAATGAAATCCACTTTTATGGATGCATTTGTAATCTGAACCCTTATGGGACAGTGGTTATGCTTACTTTTTATGTGGATGAAATGCTTTCAGGCTAGGATGTGTCACAAATTGGGCCAATCTCACCCTCTGTTGTCTACGAGAGTCTTATTGTTTGCTAAACGTTTTTAATACTGGTAGTTAGCGACTTAGTCACTTTTTTGTCTGCGCATCTGGACCACGTCTGACCTCTTGCACTTGATCTCTGACCTTTGGTGGCTTCTTTCTCTAGCGAACATAAGGACCACTCTGAAAATAAACACAAAGAAAAGGAGAAGCTGAAGCACAGCAACGGCAGCTCAGACAAGCACAGGGAAAAACACAAAGAGAAAGACAAGGACAAAGAGAAGAGGAGAGAAGAGAAGGTTTGTTGTCAGTCTGCCGCTTATAAAATGCTGTAGGGATCTTAAGTCTAAATATGTTTTTTTCTCATTACTTGTCATTATTATTTTTGTTAAATTAGGTTAACAATTTTAGTTTTTTCATGATCATTAAAAAGGTCAACACCAATGGCCTCTGTAACATTTCAGCAACGTTTTACAAATAGCAACAGTGAAGACAGTCTGAACATTGTTCAAAGGTTTGAAAGTTTGTTTAAATTACATTTGCTAATTTATCTTTCTCTGTTTCTTACAGATTAAATCATCCCATGTAGACAAGCCTAAAAAGGAGAAAGAAAATGGATATGTGAGGTAAAAATGCATTGCGTTTTCTCTGACTGATGTACAATTAAATTAGTTGGTTATGATTAATACAATATTACTTTACTAAATTGCATTTCAATGTGTGACTTAGAGATACAAGCCCTGCTGCCATTAAGAGTGAGCCCGAAGAGGACAATGGCTTCTACCCTTCTCCCCAACACAACAAGACCTCCAAGCGAGAGCATGATGATGAAGAGTGGGTATCATACAAATTAAATAATAATCTGTCACTTTCTTATTGAAATGTAAGACAGTAAGATTATCAATACATCTGTTCACAGATTTGAATACAAGCCCAAAAAAGTCAAGACAGAGCATGACAAAAAGGCCAAGAAGAGGAAACATGAGTATGAAGAAGAGGAGGAGGAGGAAGAAGAGGTTCATTACATTTTTCATTACTATCTTTAATGAATATATTCTCATGTGTATCTGCCGTTCTTGTTCTCCAGAGTTATTCTGTTTTCTGCACTTGATCTAGGACATAAAGCCCAAAAAGAAGACAAAAGATAAAAAGGTAACCGAGGGAAAGAAAGCCAAAAAAGAAGAAGAGGAGAAGTGGAAATGGTAAGATAATGTCAGGGAGAAATAGTTATTTTTCTCAGGAAATCACACAAGGGTAGTTATAAACAGCAAGTAGATACCATATTTGTGTTTTCCCTCATGGGTCGCACTTTGTTGTTGTTGGTGGTGATTAGGTGGGAGGAGGAAAGATCTACTGATGGCTCTAAGTGGCGCTTCCTTGAGCACAAGGGTCCAGTGTTTGCAGCTCCGTATGAACCCATGCATGACAAAGTCAAGTTTTACTACGATGGTGAGTATATCTTGGTAAAAAAAAACGGGTCATGTTTTTGTTTATTTTTCATTTTACACCACAATGTGATTGTTCTGTTTTTGTAGGAAAACCTATGAAACTTAATGCTCCTGCCAAGGAGGTGGCTACATTTTTTGCTAAGATGTTGGATCATGAGTACACCACTAAGGATATCTTCAGGAAGAACTTTCTTAAGGACTGGAGGAAGGTGAGGAGATAAGACTCAAGCTTTGCTATAAAAGTGTCCCGAGCAAGAGCCTAAAGAGGGTACAAAGTTGAAGTATTTATGTTATACATGCCTCAGATGACTCTTTACATTTAAGGAAATGACATCTGAGGAGAAGTCCAAGATAACCGACCTGAACAAGTGCAAATTCAGTGAGATGAGTGAGTTCTTCAAGGCCCAATCCGAAGCAAGGAAACAGATGTCAAAACAGGAGAAACTGGTATGCCTGGATTAATTCCTTTAACCCTGAAAACATTCTGCAATCTTTTGTTGTATATTAATGTTGCCATACACTTTGTAGAAAATCAAAGAGGAGAATGAGAGACTCCTCCAGGAGTATGGTTTCTGTATCATGGACAACCACAAAGAGAGGATCGGAAACTTCCGCATCGAGCCGCCAGGCCTGTTCCGGGGACGAGGCGATCATCCTAAAATGGGCAGGCTGAAACTACGCATCAGACCTCAAGACATAATTATTAACTGTAGCAAGTGGGTAATCTGACCAACACTGTTATCACAATCACTGCCATGGACTTTACATTTTAAGCCAAATCCCAAAGCCCACACTCACTGACAGGCTTTGATGTAACGTTTCTGGTTCCACTGCTACGTGCTTGAGTGAGCTCTGCAAACATTTTGAGCCTTTTATATACACTACCATAAGTCCGCACATTTTCTCCACAGGGAATTACCCACAGTTTATAGCTTTCTGACTTTAAAAGCAGGGTTACCAGGGGAAGCACGGAAGGGTTAAAAAAAAAAAAATGTCAGGCTGGCATATTAATTTCAACACTGTTGAACACAAACACTGAATTATCTTTAAGGATTTAAATGGGACATAACAAATGCAT